TATTCAATAGATACAGAGCTGTGCAGATTTCTTGTTTCTTCAGTGAGTTTTAGCAGGTTGTGTCTGTCAAGGAACTGTTCCATTTTGCCCAGCTAACTGAATCTGTGGACACAGGGTCACAGTATTCCTTACTATCCTCTGTACATCCGCAGGATCTGCACCGACATTCCTAACTGTGTTCCTCCTCTGTGTTTCCTGGCCTAGGTAGAGGCTTCCCAATTTGACCCATCTTCCAAAGGATCAGTTTTTGGTTATGCTGATTTTCAACTTACTTTGCCCTATTTTCAACTTACTGGTTCTGTTCTAATTCTTATTATTTTGCTTACTTTGGATTTATTCGCTCTTCTTTCTAGTACTCTAAGGTAGGAACTTAGATTATTGATTTTAGATCTTTTCTGACAAACTTTTAGTTTTCAGCATTATTTATGATATTCAGTACTATAAATTTCCTACTTAGCAATTCTATTGGTGTATACCACAAATTAAGACAGGTTGTGCTTGCATTTATTTGAAAATATTTTTAAAATTTCCTGCAGATTTCCTCTTTGATCCCTGTGGTATTTCCAAGTTTGCTATTTACTTTTCGTTTATTTAGGGAATCTTCAGTCATCTTTATACCATACCTTTCCAATTTCAACCTATTTTGGTCTGAGAGCACACGCTGATTTCTGTTCTTTTAAATTTGTTAAGGTGTGCTTTTCCACCTAGATGTAGCCTGTCTTGCTAAATACTCCATGTGAGTTTGCTTATAATGCGTAGCTTGCTATTGATGGATGAAGTCACCAGTTGATGGCAACTGTGTCCAGTTCACGGACGGTGCTATTGGGCCCAAGACGTGTCCTTGCTGATTTCATGGCTGCTGGATCTGCCCATTCCTGAGAGCAAGGCGTGAAATCTTCCAGTTTTAACAATGCATTCATCTGTTTCTTAATAGTTTGCAATGTTTTTAGCATTTTACCATATGTACTTCAAATGTATCTGTTGCATACATATGTATAGATATATACACTACTTTTTCTTGAAAACCAGTATTAATATAAGAGTGAGGATTCCTTACAATCCATGACTCTGCACAGTTTAGTGAGGCAACATTCCTCACAACAGATGCTATGACATCCACACAATTTTTACACTCTATATATTAACTCCCACAACTAAGAGAAATGTGATAGCTGTTTAGTTCCGGGTCTGGCTTGTTTCACTTAGCATAATGATCTCCAAGTCCATCCATTTTCTTGTAAACGCCAGGATTTCATTCTCTGTATGGCTGAGCGATTTCTCTTGGCCGCCCCATGGGTTTTCGGCCCCCCTGCCTCCATGTTCAGGACAGTCACCTCTGCAGGGAACTGACCCCTCCCTCCAGCACTCGGTAATGTCTGTCCTTGTCTTCTGGAACTTTCCTGGCTGTGAAGTCCACTCTACCTGAACTTTTCAGTAATCAAGAGCTTGAGTCATGTTTTACACAATAACATACACGGGGCCGGCATTGTGGTGTAGCTGGTAAAGCCGCTGCCTGCAGTGCCGGCATCCCATATGGGTGCCAGTTCAAGGTCTGGCTGCTCCACTTCTGATCCAGCTCTCTGCTATGGCCTGGGAAAGCAGTAGAAGGTGGCCTGTCGCTCCCCCTCTTCATGGAGGAACGACACAGAACCCTGTGCTGTTCTTTCGTCTGCTCGGCCCTCCCCGGGTTTGCTGCTGGTTCTTCCCGGGTTGGCTACCGACCCTTCCACCTCCGTGGAAGGGCAGTTCCCCCTGGCCACATTCCCCACTTCCGCAGGGGAGCGGCACACCGCCGGCCGGCTCTCTCGGGGGCTGCACAGGTGTTCCTTCAGATAGATGTTCCTGGTGCATGTTGTCTCTCTCCTCCTTTATAGTCCTCTTCCACCAATCCCAACTCTGCTACCCACACACCGAGTACGCTGCTCTCCTCCAATCAGGAGCAGGTCCTGCTGTTTATTGGTTGAACTGGAGGCAGCTGTGTAGAAGCTGTTTCCTCCTCTCCCAGCGCCATATTGTGGGAGAGCAGATGCATAGAATAAGTCTTAATTCCAGTAACTTAGTCTAGTCCGAGTTGCTCCCAGTTGCTCCCCACAGTGGCCCAAGTCTTTGGGTCTCTGCATCCACGTGGGAGACCTAGAAGAAGCTCCTGGCTCCCAATTTCGGAGTGGCCCAGCTCCAGCCGTTGCGGCCATTTGGGGAGTGAACCAGCGGATGAAAAACACCCCTCTCTGCCTCTGCCTCTCTGAAACTGACTTTCAAGTGAAACAAACATATCTTTAAAAAAAAAAAAAAGTACAAGATGTGAATTGGGCTAAGGATGGCTTCCAGTCTTCTGGGGTCTTGCTGCCCCCAGTGGTAGAAGTGGGCATTTTCCCCTCTGGATCTCGCGTACAGGGAGTTAATTGCCTGTGCTGCCCCAGTCCCGTGAGAAGGTCCGTGTTTTTGACTCCTTTCCTTGCAATGCGCTGCGATGTGTCCTCTGCTCACCGATCCTTTCTGGGCTGGGGGAACTGAAGCTCAGGCTCGCGAGGGTCAGAAGATCCCGTGGGGAAGAGACACAGCTTTGGTGCTCTGCGTACATCTTCGTGCTCCCACTCCCACTTGGATTTCGATAGCGCACACCATTTTACCTGATCTTCAGTAAACCCACATGTCTGGCTTTAACATTCTCCTTTCTTTGCTGCTGAACGTTTTTGTTTTCAGTTGGTGGACTTCAAGTCATCACCATATCTGTGCTCATGTTGTTATCAACACAGGTTTAGTTTCTCCCAGCTCCGAAAGCATAAACACTAAGTAAGCATGCCAAGTAGCAGTTGACAGGGATGCCAGGTTACAAGGTTTTTTGCTGTCTGCTATCCATCGCAGATAATCCAGAGACCTTAGTCCGTCCCACAACTAACAGAATAAATAATCAGCTGGTATCAGCTCTGCCCATCTGCTCCAAACTTCAAAACCCCCTTTCTTCGTCTCAACAAACACAAGCACGCACGGGCTGGACCTGAGAAGCCCAGGCTCCTCACACAGGTGGGAGTGGCTTCACACCTTTCCACACAGGTGGGAGTGGCTTCACATCTTTCCACACAGGTGAGAGTGGCTTCACACCTTTCCACACAGGTGGGAGTGGCTTCACATCTTTCCACAGGTGGGAGTGGCTTCACATCTTTCCACAGGTGGGAGTGGTCTCACCTTTCCACACAGGTGGGAGTGGCCTCACACCTTTCCTCACAGGTGGGAGTGGTCTCACACCTTCCACACAGGAGGACACGGCACACAGACACAGTGGCAACAGGACGGCACGAGCAGGAGACGAGAGCGGCTGCAGAGCCCGGAGCGCGTGCTCCAACCTCTCATTTCTTTTATTCTGACACCCAAAAGGTTCAAGAGAGTAAGTCTGCTGCCTGAGTCGTCCTCACAAGGAGACAGCTTCCCACAGGTTGTTCATGTTCCTGATTCCAGCTGGTGATTAAAGATTTAGATGAAGTACGTCTTTCCATTTCCCAGAATGGCTAACTGTGCTGGAAAAGCCGTCCTTTCAAGACTGGGCACGTGGCCTAATGATTAAGCCATTCATGTCTCACACCAGAGTACCTGAGTTCAATCCCCAGTCTGGCTCCTGACTGCAGCTTCCTGCCAATGCAGACCCAGACGACGGCTCAAGTCACTCGGTTACTGCTGGCCACAAGGAGACCCAGCCTCAGTCTGGGCAGCTCAGCCCAGCCCTGGCAGGAACAGGCATTTGGGGAGGGAACCAGCACATGGAAATTCTCTCACTCTCTCTCTCTCTCTCTTTCAAATATAAAAGAGAAATTCCTTCAGTGTTTCATAACACATCACTTTTCTTTCCTCCTATTTGAATTTCCATGAAAGTCTAGAAGTTATTTGAAAGAAAAATCAAAGTAATTTATAAACCAGTTTATGTATTTAGGTAACAACATCTGGAAGAGCATTCTCTTTGCTGTGTAGTCAATAACCTGAACGGAAGAGGTAAACAGTAAAATCTGAGAAGTCAGCGTAGGAAGGGTTAGGGTTAGGGTTTCTCTGTAACTGACATAAAGAATTACAGAGCACCGAAGCTTACAGAGGAAGTGCGAACATTTAGTCAAATGTGCTCAAGTTGACTTAAAAGCTTAACACCAGGTTCAGTTACAATATGAGCACATACTGCTACCACTGGGTTTACTTTTGAGATAAATATTTATCACTGAGCATCCCATCGTAAGTAACTAAAACTTACACTCCTCTGAAAGTACCCATCTTCTTTCCCCAGAAACCTTTTAGTTAAGGTATATAGTTAAGGAATAAGAAAGGAGGAAGAAGGGTGGGAGTGCAGGTGGGAGGGTGGGAAGAATCACTAGGTTCCTAAAGTTGTATTTATGAAATGCATGAAGTCTGTATACCTTGAAAGTAACCCTCTTGATCAACAGTTTACTGCAAGCCAAAGGTACTACCAGTTTTACCCATGCACAAAAACATATAAAACTAAAATAATTTATCATTTCCTATGGCAAGAAAAATCATCTTCCAAAACCGATCACAAATTTGTAGTAGACTGCAAATACAAATTTCCATTCCCACATATGATTATATCCCACAGGCCTGGTGCTAATCAGCAACGTTGCTTAGACAGCAGACAGGAAACAAACAGAACCCCGAATTGTAAGGGGTGGGGGACAGGTGGGGGGCAGAGGAAGGGGAAGGTTGCTTATAATACTTGTGTGTTACACAGCCAAATTGTGCCCTAAAGCAGAAGGGTTTTCATGGGTGATAGGCGACCCCCATGGTGTGCTCATCTGCCACCCCAAACCTCCCCAAAAATCTGCAGCAATTTTCTGTCCCTCTGCTGCACTCAGTATGGCCTTGCTCAGAACCCTGCTATCAGGAAGCCAGCAGCCGCATGCAATTAACTGGAGTAGAAAACTTATCAGTGCTATCAACTGCTTGGATCTGCGTTCTACCAAACGAGGCATACTCCACAATTAATAATTCAGAAAGAGAAAGAGTCTTGCTTAATGTGTTTATTTCAATAGCTGCAGAGATTAAAAAAACAATCTGATACATTCTTCACACAATCATTTCATTTTCATTCAAGCAATCACATTGCATTTACAGGGTGACACAGAATTCAGTAGATCCTCAAAGGCAAAGCAACCAGACAAGAACACAGCGACAGGGACTTGATGAAGATAGACCTCGTTTTTCTATTCACACGTGGCCACAGGTTTCAAGGAAAAATATAAAATAATATAATTACACTCAACTTCTTGGTAGTAGTTTCTTTCCAAGCTTAAACTTTTTAGATGAAAGTTGCTGGCTTCTACAGATTTATCATCAGTGGTTTGCAGGTGCAGCTTCCAAAGATCTGTGATGAACAGTAATATGCAAATGTGTCAATAGTGATGCTGTCTGTGTGAATTCCTTAGGGGGTGGATTTTACTTGAAGTGAATGTAACATGTCCATTATGTAGAATTCCATGATATATTCTCATTCATCAGGAAACCCATGTATATGAGGGATCTTCCAAAAACTCATGAAAATGCGTATTAAGAGAAAACGGTGCATGGATTTCTAAAGATCTTGAACCATAATTAACTTCCCTTTGGGGCCCTCTGAGCACCTCTGTACTACTCTGCCTCTCTGTAGCGAGGAAGTGAGTTTTCTGGCTACTGGAGCGACTCAGTCCAGTTCACTGAGCCAGCAGATGCCAAATCTGCAGTTTAGACCAAGGTCTGTCCTGTCCCTGAGCTTTCCATTTAGTTCTCTTTTAAAAGTAATCCTGAAGGCAACTATGGTCAACTACGCTACTACTACACAGGCTGAACACTGCTAACCTGAAAGTCTGAAATTCAAAATGCTCTGAAACCCAAACTCTGACTTCCAACCCGAGGACAAATGCAGGTGCACTAAAAATATTGCATGAAATTACTTGTAAGTTGTGTAAGGTATACACGAAACAAAAATGAATTTCTAGCCCCAAGACATGTTATTATTTATTTGCAAATATTCCCAAAACCAAGAATTCCAAGGCACTTCTGAACCCATGCCTTTCAAATAAGGATGGCTCACTCTCTACATACCTGTGTAATTCTGTCAAACGTGCCTTGGGTTATCTGGAGCTATTTCCTAACAGCCCCAAACAGAGGTGGGGACAGCCCCTTGTGACACACAGTCACAGTCAGGGATGCCTTTCACGGTTCCTTCACCTACAAGACAAACCTGGTGCTCAGAACCTCTCCCTCCCTCCCAGCCTAAGGCCTCTAATAAAGCTCACTAGCTTCATAACTCATTCCATAGTAAAATGCAGTACCAACATGGAAGTAGATGTTTCTCTCGTACTTTCAGTCACAGAGGAGAGATGGAAGTTCTCCAGGAACAAGACGTAGCACACCTTTCTGTATTTGATGAGGAGATTGCAAAATGAGCTCATGGTTCCAGGATGGGGCATGAAGTCTGCTTCCTCTTCCCAGAATTCTGATTTCACTCTGGAGCTGCTGCAGTGCCTACTCACAATGAAAGTCTCTCCTGACAACTTAAGTTTTAAAGAAATACTTCCAGGCCAGTGCCGCGGCTCACTAGGCTAATTCTCTGCCTGCGGTGCAGGCACCCCGGGTTCTAGTCCTGGTTGGGGCGCCGGATTCTGTCCTGATTGCTCCTCTTCCAGTCCAGCTCTCTGCTGTGGCCCAGGAGTACAGTGGAGGATGGCCCAGGTGCTTGGGCCCTGCACCCGCATGGGAGATCAGGAGAAGCACCTGGCTCCTGGCTTCGGATCGGTGTAGCGCGCCAGCCGAAGCAGCCATTTGGGGGGTGAACCAACAGAAGGAAGACCTTTCTCTCTGTCTCTCTCTCTCACTGTCTAACTCTGCCTGTCAAAAAAAAAAATACTTCCAAAAGAGAGTTTATTATACTTTTTTATTTTAAATAATAAACGGTAACAGTGGTGGCACCTACTGGGTCAACGTGGCGAGGCCAGGCAGGAAGGATCACTCCTATCAGACACTCCGCGAGACGGAGTTTTCCAGCGGAAGGCAAGCAGTAGCCCAGGACCTGGATGCTGCCACCCCTCTCCGTCCCCTTCGCTGGTCTTCGGCTGGGACACCTTCAAGTAGAGACCTTCCAGAGAAAGCTGGAGACCTAGGGAGAAAGCAGCTGGCCTCGGCCTCTGCTCCACTGCTCAGAGTTCAGACAGCTAACAGCCTGCAGGCCAAGGTGCTGGGAACACTCCACAAACCAGGACAAGCTAAAAGCAGCCAGCACCTACAGACTACACAGCCAGATCCAGAGCTGGTATCCAGTACACTGCCCGTGGCTGGGCAACAGGAGAGAATGTAGACGGGGCATGAAATCTCCTGCTGGGAGATGTTTCTGGATTGCTCGTGAGTCTGTAGGAACAGAACTGTTTTCCCAGACGCTGAAGCTACTGAAGTGATGGGTGCCATGAAGAAGCAAAGTGGTAAGGGTTCTGGACCCTCTGCCCCTTGGTATCTGAACGCTTCAATGTTCACCTTTCGTATAGCAAGTTCAAAATCGTTTCTGGTACTTCTGCTGTCTGTCTTCAGCATATTTCACTTTCTCCAGGAAGAGTAAGTTGTGTGCCAGCTAAAATAGTTGCCAGGTAATGGACACAGCGCTTGCTGCACTTCGTCAGAAAGGCTCTGTTTTTGTTAAGAGACCCTGCCTCAGGTTCATCTGGACAAACAGCACAGGAGAACGCCAGGTGCCACGCAGCCAGCAGCACCGGCTGCACCAGCCCTCCTGCCCGCGCCTCGGCAGGCAGATGCTGCTACTCTGGAGTCTTCAGGAGGCCTGAGCACCTCTGGGGCCTGGGCCTCTGTAGGAGCCTCCACATCAGCCAGAACTGGAGTTTTACCCACATCCTGGGCCTGGCCTTAGACTGGGACAGCCCAAGACCCCTGGCAACATGGGCAAGAACACGCTCCGACCTCGCAGTAGGTGATGCAGGCAAGGCCTCTGGGCCTGCAGCCGACTCCTTTTCCTATCTGTGGGATTAACTTCCTTTGCCCGGCAAACTCAGCAGCCGCACTCACAACCTTGGCATTGCTGCCCTGCATCTTCCTCAGGTTCTTCTGGTCGTGGTTTTGGCACATGGCATGATCCCCAAGAATCTGGGGTCCACCCCCTTAAGAGATTCCCATTTCTGTGGTCAAGGTTCCTGCAGGCCACTTCTGTGCCATTTGGGCGACTGGTTGTGGACACTGCGTCTTGGATGTGGCCATGTCTGCATGGTAACAGCTCAAGGTCTCTAGTTTTAATTGCAAACTTCCCCCAAAGATAATTCCTGGTAAGATCAAATGCTTATTTTGATGACGATTGGTAGCTTTTCTTAGCACTGTCATCAGGAAAGACTTAAAACGAGTATGCCTATGTTTTTGCATACATTATTTATTATAAAGTCTTATTGTCTTAGGACTTAAGAGTGAACACTATAACAGAAAAATTTTTCTGAGAATTAAATATATATCATTTCTATCATATTTTATCCTGGGGTCTTGGTAACTATTTCTATTGAAGAAAATTGAATTTAAACCTATCATAGTTCCTCAAGGAAAATATCTCCTAAGCACTTTCTTATAATCAAATATTCCATACAAAGATAAAACAAACTTAAATGGGCTATTTAAGGAAAAAGTATCGCACAGTCTAAAGAAGCTATCTACAAGGCAGGCATTCCAAGATGGCTGAATAGGGAAAAGGTACGGATTTTGACGAGGGGAAGACAGCAGAAGAAAAGTGGAGACGGTGTACTCCCAGGGGGGAGCTGGAGCGCAATCAGCAGTGGAAATTCTACAAAAAGAAGAGGGACACCGTGGAGCAGCATGGAAGGTGCGGGCATGCACCAGCCAGCAGGAGACACCAGATTCCTAGAGTGAGGTGAGGGTAGACTGAGGGGCCCCGTGCCACTGAGGATACTGCATGAGGGAGAACCTGGCAGAACAGACTGACTTGAAGTCCAGCCTGGAACCCTGCTGGGGCAAGCTTCCCAGCTAAAGGAAAAGCACATTTCTTTCTCCCACCCCCCACAAGGGCACTCCACAACCAGCACGGAGACGGTGCCATCCTGACACAAGCAGACGCTGTCGGGGCTCCTATACATTCATGGGACTAGGGGATTTCACCAGAGAGAAAAATACACATTTCCCACTAATTCTGAGTCTGGCTAGCAGGGTTGGCAGGGGACTGGGCACCCTCTTAGGACTGTGAGGAACACACATCCTTTCAACCTATCATAGGCTCCTGGGCTCAAGCTGCCATGGAGGAGTACCCACAGGCAGCTGGCTCTGGAAATGACCACTCTCTGTGGACAGGACAGGCTCCAGGGGCAGAGAGAAGAATCCTCTGCACCTAAGGACTATGGCAGCTTTGTGAGTAGAGACTTTGGGAATCCTGGGACTGCAAGGTAGGGTCTGGGGTATAGCTGGGTTTCTGGGTAATCACTGTACTTGGTGCCAGAGGCTCAGAGTTTCCTGAGGGCCTGGGGTGGGCCATAGCTTAAGATTCAGTGTTTATACTGAGGACAATATAGACCCTTTATGTAGTTAATGTGCCACCACGGGTGAGGGTTGTACCCACTATGGGCTAACCCTGGGTACTGATCATATTAGGAGAAAGTGAAGTTGTGATTATGCCAACAGGCACAATCACCCCTCTGCCTGCTGACAATAGAGGAGATCTACCATATCCATCTTGGGTGTCACCCTGGATTCTCGTCCCACCTTTGAGCACTGACCAGAGCTCCCTATCCCCACCCAGCACACATCTCTGGGTATTCACTAAAGGTGCAGTCACTGCACTAAGCCAGAGAGGCATGGTCATCAAAATGAAGAAATATAAAAATAGAAATCTCCCAGTAAAACTACAAAGCAAATTCAAGGCAAACAATATAATTTAGAGGAAAATAGCAGGGTGAAGTTTTTACTGATAAATCGCAATTTTGAATGTAAATGGCCTAAATTCTCTAAATAAAAGATACAGGCTGGCTGAATGCATTAAAAAACAAGACCCATCTATTTGCTGCCTGTAAGAAACACATCTCACCAACAAAGATACACATAGACTGGAAGCAAAAGGATGGAAAAAGATATTCCAAGCTAATGGAAAGCAGAATTGAGCCAGTCTAGCCATGCTAATATCAGACAAAACAGAATTTAACACAAAAACTGCTGAAAGAGACAAAGAAGGGCACTATGTAATGATTAAGGGAATGAATCCATAGGAAGATGTGACTGTAATAAACGCATATGCACCTACCACCAGGGAACCTGGCTGTTTAAAACAAATGTTAATGGATCTAAAGGGAAACATCAACTCCAATAAAACAGCAATGAGGGACTTCAACACCACACTATCATCAATAGACAGATCAATGAGACAGAAAATCAGCAAAGAAACAGCAGAGCTAATAGACAGGATGGACCCAAAGGACCTAAACAGTATCTACAGAAAATTTCAACACATAGTTGATGAATATACATTTTCATCAGTGCATAGAATGGATATCTTCACTGAATTCTACTAGACTTTTAAAGAAGAACTAACTGCAATATTCAAAACAGTTGAAAATGAAAGAATCCTCCCAAACTCCTTCTATAGGGTGAGCATCACCATAACTCCAAAACCAGAAAAAGATATAAAAAGAAAGAGAACTATGGATCAGTATCACTGATGAACATAAATGCAAAAATCCTCAACAAAATACTGGCTAATTGAATCTAACAACACATCAGAAAGATAATTCACCTGGACTAAGTGGAATTTATCTCTGGTATGCAGGGAATGTTCAACATACACAAATCAATAAATGCAATATACCATGTTAACAAACTGAAAAATAAAAACTATGTGGCTATCTCAATAGATGCAGAGAAAGCATTTGATAAAATACAATACCCTTTCATGAAAAAAAAAAAAAACCCTTAAGCAAACAGGGTATAGAAGGAACATTCCTCAATAAAATAAATGGCAAACCCATATCCAGCATCATATTGAATAAGGGAAAGCTGGAAGGATTTCCACAAAAATATGGAACCAGACAAGGATGCCCACTCTCAGCATTGCTATTCAACGTAGTCCTGGAAGTTTTAGCCAGAGCCCTTAGGCAAGGGAAAAAAAGGAGTAAAAATTGAGAAGGAAGAAGTCAAATTATCTCTATTTGCAAATGATACGACTATATGTAGGGAATCCAAAAGACTCCATTAAGAGGCTATCGGCACTCATAAAACATTTTGGTAAAGTAGCAGCATATAAAATCAACACAGAAAAATCAATAGCCTTTGTATACAAAGACAATACCACAGTGGAGACAGAACTTGTAAGATCAGTCCCATTCGCAATAGCTACCAAAAAAAATAAATACGTTGGAATAAAGTTAACCAAGGACAGTAAAGATCTCTACAATGACAATCACAAAACATTAAAGAAATAGAAGACATGAAAAAAGGAAAAATCTTCCATGTTCATGGATTAAAAGAATCAATACCATCAAAATGTCCATATTACCAAAAGCAATTTATAGATTCAACGTGATCCCAATCAAAATACCAACAACTTCCTTCTCAGATAGGAAAAACAATGCTGAAATTCATAAGGAAACACAGGAGACCCCAAATAGACAAAGCAATCTTATTCAATGAAAACAAAAGCAAAAGCATCACAATAGCAGATTTTAAGACATATTTATAGGGTATTTATAATCAAAACAGCCTGGTACTGGCACCAAAACATATGGATAGACCAATGGAACATGTTAGAATCTCCAGAATTCAATCCACACATCGACATCCAACTTACCTTTGACAAACAAGCTAAAATCAATCCCTGGAGAAAGAACAGTATCTTCAACAAATGGTGCTGGGAAAATTGGATCACCACATGCAGAAGTATGAATCAAGACCACTTTCTCACACCTTTTTTTTTTTGGTTTATTTTATTTATTTGAAAGACAGAGTTACAGACAGAGGTAGAAACAGAGAGAGAGGTCTTCCATCCACTGATTCACTCCACAAATGGCCGCAACAACTGGAGCTGTACCAATCCAAAGCCAGGAGTCAGGAGCTTCTTCTGGGTCTCCCATGTGGGCACAGGGGTCCCAGGACTTGGGCCATCTTCCACTGCTTTCCCAGGCCATAGCAGAGAGCTGGATCGGAAGTGGAGCAGCCGGGACTCAAAGCAGTGCCCATAATGAATGCTGGTGCTGCAGGCCAGGGCTTTAACCTTCTGCACCACAGTGCCAACCCCAGCTACCTCAAACCTTATATATAAATCAACTTAAAATAGATCAAGGATCTAAATCTATGACCTGAAACCATCAAATTACCAGAGAAGAACACTGAGGAAACTCTGCAAGGCATTGGCATAGTCAAAGACTTCTTGGAAAACATCCCAGAAGCAAAGGCAATCAAAGCAAAAATAGACAAATGGGATTACATCAAGCTGAGAAGCTTCTGCACTGCAAAGGAATCACTAACAAAGCACAGTGGCAACTGACAGAATGGGAGAAAATATTTACAAACTATATAACTGATAAAGGATTAACATCCAGAACTGATAAAGAGATCAAGAAACTCAACAACAACAAACCAAACAATCCAGTTAAGAAATGGGCAAAGGATTTAATCAGGTATTTTTCAAAAGAAGAAATTCAAATGGCCAACAGACACATGAACAAATTCTCAAGATCACTAGCATCTGGGAAATGAAAATCAAAACCACAATGGGGTTTCTCAGAATGGCTCTCATACAGAAAAAAAAAAAAAAAACAACAACAACAAAAAAACAAACAATAAATGCTGAGGAAAAAGGTTTCCTAATCCACTGTTGGTGGGAATGCAAACTAGTACAGCCATTGTGTAAGATAGCATGGAGATTCTTCAGAAAGCTAAAAAGACACACCTTATGACCCAGCATCGCACTGTTGGGAATTTACCTAAAGGAAATACAATCAGCATAACATACCCCAGTTTATTGCAGCTGGATTCACAATAGCTACATTATGGAATCAACCCAAATGCCCATCAACACTTGACTGGATAAAGAAAATGCGATACACACACATACACACACACATTCATACTATGGCTGAATATCACTCAGCCATAAACAAGAATGAAATCCTGTCGTTAGCAACAAAGTGGATCCAACTAGAAACCATTATACTTAGTGAAATAAGCCAGGTTTCAAAAGACAAATATCATGTTTTCCCTAATCTGTAGTTACAGAGTACAAAAAGAATGTAAAATATAATCATCTGTATTGTAGTCTGCATAAAATTATTCCTGTGCATAATCTGTTGAGAGGAAACTGCATACAGCCTAAATGAACTTATTTATTATCTTGCAACCACACAGGAAATATTTTGATTACATTGTCATTAGTTCTATTTCATTGAAAGAAATTATGAATGAATAGTTAACAAAAAATAATTATACATGAGTTAAATGGCCATTTTTTCCATTCAATCATAGTTTATAGACACTGTCTATATTCTTGGTAAACTAGGGTCTTTTTAATGTTTTACTTGTTAAACTTCTTGTTCCATGAAGTATTAAGCCTTTTTATTGTAATGTAAATTTAAAGTATGTTACTTCAAAAACTAAAAAAGACAAAAGAAAGGGTTGGGGTTAGGGGAATGGGTGGAAGGAGGGAGGAAGGGAATCTTTTTATGTTCTTAGACTTCTATCTATAAATCATTGAATCTGTTAAAAATCAATTAAAATGAAAATGAAAAATGAAAGAAGCTATCACAAACCTGTAAAATGCACAGACATGCTTTTAAAATGTTTATTATTGCATTCAAATACAGTGTTCATTTACATATTTTTCCATGATTGTCATTAGTTAAAAAAAACTGCATATATGTATAAAAGGAAAGTGACAGACAGCACAGGAATGAAAGCCTCCATCATGTTTGAATTTTGTTCTTATTAATTATATTAAATTAAAGCCTGGATCCCTTTGAAAAGTGGAACATTTTTCAGGGTTATGAATTTAATTACTCTTAATATAAAGAAATCCTGAAATCCTCATATAATGCCAGTTCTGAGAGTAATAATTTGATTCTAAATCCTATTAATTAGATTGGTCATCCTGTTAATTACCCCGGCTAGCCTATTAATTAGACTGTTTATGCAATTAATTAGACTGGTAATCTTATCATAAGGGAGGTGTTCAAAATGATAAGTATTAGCTTGGACCAAAGGATACACCAACAGTGTTTTTGGTAAAATAGAAATGATACTCAGATTATTAAAATTAAAATATTATTGGCCATGATTTTCCTACTGTAGGAAAATATATAAGCAATTTACAAATAATTTGGAAGACAAAGTTAGCGGGGAGTTTTACCAATCACAGCTAAAGCTCCTTTCATTTTCAACAAACTGAAAAATGTTATTTATGACACAGGAGGACACTTTAAAAAGTCAGTGGAAAGATACAATTAAAAGATGAACTTATTTGGGAATCAGTGGTCGGCCTAGTGGTTAAGATGTCCACCTCCTGAACCAGCGTAGCTGGGTTCGCTTTCCAGGCCCAGCTCCTAACTTGCGTTGGCTAATGAAAACTGGGAGGGGACGCAGGAATGGCTCAAGCAGCTGGGTCCCTGGCACCCACACAGGAGACCTACGCCGAGTTCCTGGCTCCTGGCTTCCAGCCCATCCCAGTCTCCATCATCGCAGTTATTTGGGGACTAAGCCAGTGCTCTCTCTCACTTCATTTCTCTATCTCTGAAAAAAGAAAGTGTACTTTGATACAAAGATTTTCAAATCCATGCATACAACAAGTTCTCAAAAATTCATGGAGGGACTGGCAGTGTGGGGTAGCGGGTTAAAGCCACGGCCTACAGCTAGGACTCGAACCGGCACCCCTATGGGATGCCCATGCTGCAGGCAGCGGCTTCTTCCACTGACCAGAGCTGACCAAATTTCACTCTGAAGTACCCTCATATTTGTCCTTATGGTCTGTAAATCTGCCAACAGGGTTTTTATGGAAATGATACAGTTCGTGCAAGGCGACACATTCAAGGGAAAACATGAGTAGAAGCTTGCGAGCAGAGCCGATGAGAACCACGGAGCCACAGAATGCCTTCCCACTGAGAATCACAATGAAGCATCACACATCACTGCAGGGAATGAACAGCGTATCCACACCAGTGAAGAAGGGAAGGGGCACTGTAGGCGAGAGCGCTGACGTGTAAGCCAGAGACAGCTCGCCAGATTTCGTTAGGAAATTTCAGGGTATCCACTTCAAAGACAGAACTGAAAGCAGCAGCAGAGAGTGTGACTTTGCCTTTCCCGCACGTGGCCACGAGGTCCTGTCGCCCATCAGCCTGTGGTGGCGCTTGCTTTCAGACACAGTCAGTGCTACCCGGTACCCCAGTCACATCAGCAACACAGGGCTTCATCGTGCAGCTCCTCTGTGTGTCTGCAAGTACACAGATGCTGCATTCTAAAGCAATCCAAGAGAGGATTTGCTGCATGAGAGACTGCCCTCAAACGTTTGTTCTACCTTGTGGAATCTCAAGGAAGTAAGCAGGCCACAGCCCAGTCCCAAGCACAGCATTTAAAATAAGGTTTGCCCTCATCATGAAGGAAAAAAAAAAAAAAAAAAAAGAGGCAGTTTGTAAATTTTTTAGTCTAAGTACTGCAGTTAGGTACTTCATATATTTTCTTTCATTATTTAATCTACCAAGTTAATTAAAATATTTAAGAATATAATACTACATTTTTAAATAGTTCCTTAAAACATACTTTCACTAGTAACTATTTTTACATATATTTAAATTTTTAAAAAAATATGACAGTACTTCCACAAGTTTGTGAAAACATACAATTAAAAGATAAGTTTATTTTGATACAAAGACACCGAACTTCATGTATTTCTCTTCACATTTTGCATTTTCTAAAACTTTTTGAAGACCTCTTGCATACATGGACTGCAATTTTTTGCAATAAAATAAACTTATCTTTTAATTCCATTTTCCACGAACTTTTTGAAGCTCCCTTGAATTAACATTCCTTCATATATACATGAGGCACTTCAGAGAGTGGAAGAACCTTCGTCAGTGCAGAGAGTTCAAAGCAGTATTTACAAGAGATCAGAACAATTCTCCCATTCGGAGACCAAAGTTTCTGAATTCCCTCTTACTCAACAGACGTTCTTCTCATTTTCTCAGCTAATTCTTTTCTCACTTCAATGTGTTTTTCTAAATTTTGTACTTCATGCGGAAGATTTGTGTCCCAAATAGACAAGCAAGATTGTATCTCTAGAAGAAAAAACAAAACCACATTTCAAAGATCTACCGTGAAACATTGTCATTAATTTTGTGAATTTATAGTTAGCTGACTTGGATAAACTTATGTACCTCCGTAGATTTCAAAAATTCATGGAAAACAGAATAGGAAGACAAGATTATTTTGGGTCAATTTTTTTTTGAAATCCATGTATATGAGGTGCCTTCAAAATGCTCACAGAATGTGTGCATTATAAAACACTATGCATGAACTTCAAAAAATTCTCACCAAAATAAACTCATAATTACATTTTTATAAGAACTTTGTAAAGTACCAATAATAAACTATTATAATTTATAAAAAAAACTATAATTGGGAATGTTTGTAATATATTATAGAAATGACTAAATTCTAAAAAGAATGGGGACGCCTCATAACCTATCATTTCATTTTCTGAAGGAAAGCGAGCTTTTTCCAGCTCTATCAGAATCAGCCTTCACACACATATAGGTAAGTGGTAAAGAGAAAAATTCACATTTAGTTTACGTGGAACTGGTTCTCACTTCATGCTGATCGGTATCCCTACTTCACCTGAGAAAACGAATATTCAACACACTTGGATCACCGAAACTTGGTTTTCAAAAGTTCAAATTACATATTCTATGAAGAGACGGCCAATTAGGATTGCTGCAAGTATTTTATCACATCATGCTGACTTTACACCCATCCAACAGCGCAGGCTGTCCTCGCTCCTGCTGCTGCACAGTGGCCACCCTACTACGCGCTGCCTCGGTGCTGTTCATACCTTCGGCACTCTTCCGGTTGTAGCCCAGGACCAGCATGACATTTTTAAGGCTTCCTTTACCAAAACAAAATACAGAAGTTTTCTTTTACAACCACATAAAGAACTTTAAAAAAAAAAAAAAAAGAAACATGTAACTTCAAACTGAATTTATCATTCTATTTTTAGGAGATACTTCAATTACACTGAATGAAGACCTCTAGTTTAAAAAAAAAAAAAAACGTAAACTTAAAAAATCTGCATTTATCTAAAAGGCAGAGTTACAGACAGGAAGTAGGGAGAGAGAAATCTTGTACCCACTGGTTCATTCCCTAAACATCTACAGAGGCCAGGGCTGACCAGGCTGGGGCCAGGAACCAGGAGCTTCTTCCGGATCTCCGAGGTGGGAGCAGGCGCCCAGGCCCTTACCCTTCCACCGCTGTTTTCCCAGGTGCATTAGCAGGGAGCTATTTTGGAAGGCGAAGTAGCCAGGACTCGAACCCGTGCCCTTACAGGCTGCTGGGGTTGCAAGGCAGCGGCTTCATCTGCTGCACCACAGTGCCCGCCCAGCTGCAAGTCTCAACGGGATGGATCTGAATAACCAGCGTGTGTTCCCGTAAGACAGCCCTAGTGTGTGTCTCCACACGAAGTTATGACAGTAATGCAGGCAGCGTGTGACAGTGTGCTCTGGTCCTATAAGGCACGGATTTAAGAAGTACTGGGACGGAGAGCCGCTTGCATCCACGTGCTCACACTCTACCGCGACAGCATGTTTTCTTTCAAGTCTCCCTAATTTATTTGTCAAACGTTCATTAAAAATCTGTGTTATAAACCCTGGGCTAGGTCCTGGGGGGAAAAGGGTCAACAAAAATGACAAAGACTCAGGCAACATGGAGTTCACACTCCAGTGAAGAACTGGCATTAACAAACACCGTCTTGACTTCTACTAGGGCTGGGCAACAGTGGTGTCAAGAGAACCAGGAGAGACCCTGACCTCAACAGTGTGGGCTTCGCTGAGGCCGGCCACACGTGCACGCATTAGCTAAACCACAGGTAGGCTGGGGGCGGGGGGGGCATAGTAGTGAGGAGGGGCCAGGTGGAATTCTGGAGGAACGCGCTTGGGGCGGAGAGCAGAGGGGACCAGAAGCCCGCCAGGAGCCACCTGGTCCACTCTGTACCAATTCATCTTTTTTATGAACCAGTCATAGCCCACTGACACTCTGCCACAATTTCAATTATGAGCACACATGTGAGTGCCCAAGTACACACAAACTGAACTAGAGAATGAAACGAGCTCAGGAAACTCCATCAACTGCACACCTGCCAACCTGCTGGTCCGCACTCACGTCCTGACGCCTCCGACGACGGGAACATCTCCGACTCCTTCTGCACAGTTCTGACATCCACAAGGGAAGTGCAGGACAAACACGGCTTCCTTCTTAGTATGCTCTTGCCAAGCGAACTTATTCTCATCATCACAGTCAAATGTTTTATAACAAACTGACTAAAGTTTCATAAACTCTAGCTTTGCAAAATGAATTCCCACAGCGATATTTTTGTCATCAACTGCATATACAATATTATTTTTTTTTGCCAGGCATTTAAATGATTAATCAAAAGAGTACCTTGGAATGTATTTATGTAGAAAATGTATTTCATATACTACTATTATTTCTTCATCTTTAAATAGAAAGTTAGGAGCAAAAACTGTTCATCAAATTTGAGTGAAACTTATCATAGCTTCCCAATACGTCTTACAAGCAGCTGTAAGAGCAGCAATCTGTTATAGAATGAAAAACCATTGCCTGGCGTTGTGGCGCAGCAGGTAAAGCCACCGCCTGCGACACTGGTATCCCATATGACAGCCAGTTTGAGTCCAGGCTGTTCACTTCTGACCCAACTCGTTGCTAACGCACCGGAAAAGCAGAAGATGGCCCGCGTGCTTGGGCCCCTGCACCCACGTGGGAGACGTGAATGGAGTTCCAGGCTCATAGCTTCAGTCTGGCCCTTCCCTGGCTGTTGTGAACCAGCAAAAGGAAGATCTCTCTCTCCCTCTATATTTATTTAAAAAGCAGAGTAATACATTTTTAAAAGATCTTTAAAAAATGAAAACCCAAATAGGATTGTTAAACAAGGATGGGAAGCCTAGGCTATGATATCTATAACCATTTATTTTAATTTCAGTGATCAAAAAATGAAGTATACTCAGCGCCATGTAATTCCATTTTTGTCTTGGGTATAAAGGCAAAGAAGGAAGTAAGACCCAAACTACTTGCTTGGCTGCTCTGCTCTCCATGGGACTGACAGCACTCACTCCTTCCATTTATTACCCAACTCAGAATTCACCCCAGTGCCGTATGACACTCCCAGTGACATTGGAAAGAGAAGAGAAAGCTTAAACTCAGCATAAAGGCAGGTGTCGCAGTCCCAGAAAGTAGGGCTTAGACAACTGGAGGGGAGTCACTTGCCTGACTGTGCTGTCGCCATGACGCGCACGGAATCACAGAAGTTGTAGATGATGCGGATCACGCGCCGCGTGGAGAGGTCCAGGAGCAGGATGTGGCCTCCTCCGGTCCCGATCCAGAGCGCCGTGTTCTTCTGAAGGCAAAGCGCCTTCACGCGCACGGAGTAGAACAGGCTGTGCTTTGACTCCTGCTTTCCTACTGCCATCGCTTCCCTAGAAGCATGAGGAAATCACGCGTGAATCATTTTCTAACAATTAAGAGATTAAAAACAGATGTTTATACACACATACATACTCCAGAAAGTTCAGGGGAAAATTAAAGTTTATTTTGACGCAAAACAGTTCTGAAATGCATGCACTCAGAAAGTGCACGGAAAACGAGGCTGGCGTTGTGGCGCAGTGGCTTGAGCGGCTTTCAATGCCAGCATTCCATGATGCAGCACCAGTTCGAGTCCCCGTGGCTCTGCTTCTGATCCAGCTCCTTACTTATGTGCCGGAGAAGGTAGCAGAAGACAGCTGAAGTAGCTGGGCTCTTGCCATCAAGGTAGGAGACCCTGACAGAGTTCCAGGTTCCTGACATCAGCCCAGCCCAGCCCTGGCCATTGTGGCCTACTGGGGAGTGAACCAGGGGAGGGAAGATCTCAATCTCTCTCTTTCTCTCTCCCTCTCTCTCTCCCTCCCTCCCTCTCAGCCTATCGTTCAAATAAACAAATATATTTTTAAAACATAGATGGAAAATGTGTACTATAAAAAAATGCAAAGATTTAAAAATCCTATTGCACTAAATGTATAATGTTTTAAATTATGGACACTGCTTTTACGGCACAGCAGGTAAAGCTGCCACCTGCAGTGCCGGCATCCGTACTGGGTCAGTTTGATTGTTGGCTACTCCACTTCTGATCCAGCTCCCTGCTAATGTGCCTGAGAAAGCACCAGAAGATGGCCCAAGTGGGAGACCCTAAAGAAGCTCTGGCTCCTGGCTACAACCAGGCCTAGCCCTGGCTGTTGTAGCTGACTGGGGAATGAACCAGCAGATGGAAGACCTCTCCCTCTCTCTCACTATGACTTTCAAATAAATAAATAAATAAATTTTAATGGGCCCAGTGCTACGGTGTAGGGGGTTAAAGCCATGGCCTGCAACACCAGCACCAGTTGGAGTCCTGGATGCTCCACTTCCTACCCAGCTCCTTGCTAATGTGCCAGGAAAAGCAGCAGAGAATGGCTCAAGTCCTTGAGCCCCTACAGCTCCATGGGAGACCCAGAAGAAGGTTCGGGGCCCTGGCTTCAGCCTGGCACAGCCCAATGGTTGCTGAGACCATCTGGGGATTGAACCAGTAGATGGAAGATCTGTCACTATGCCTTTCAAATAAATAAATGAATCTTTTAAAATAATCTTCAATTATGAATACATGATAAGAAATATTATGAATTATTAGTATTTCATAAAAGTCATTTTGTTGACTACAGAAGACCAAAGAGTCGCATTTTTCTTCTTGAGATCTAAATTATCAAAGGTAATAATAGTTCCTCAACTTCAAGAAATTCTGAAGCAAGATGAGGTTTTTATAAATAATAAAACTAACCCAGGGAAAACTTTGCCCAGTATAAGAAAATAAATGAGTAGTTTCAAAAGCTTTCTATAAAGTCTCAATGTTACAAAAAAAACCTTCATGTTACAAAAATAAAACTATATCCATTTGTATGTGAAAAATATCACATACCATTGGATTTCCCCCTGAGCTAATGAATTGCCTAATTCATGTCGAAAACGAGGTAGCCATAAATAAAAAGACCCTCCTAGATTCAAAACTTCAGGAAGTAAGGGACCCTTGACCAAGCAGGACTGTGAGCTGTTGTGAGCATCAACCTCCTCGCAGTCCAGAGAAAGACTCCAAGACATCCTAGGAAACACACGTGGCAGAATCCTTTTCCAGATGCCATGGGCCACCTAAAATGTTCTCCAGAGCACAGAGAACCTCCACAGTGAAGTCAAACTGAACACAAATACAAAGTCAGCGGGCGATCGCTTGCCCAGGGCCACGCTGCTAGGCTCCCCAACAGGGGCAGCAGAGGACGCGGCGTCCGCCCTCCGTCACCCGCCCAGTCAGAGGAGGCTCGGTGCCCTCATTCTGCATTGGGATCTCCCACCCTTCCTAGGGCACCAATCCGACCAGCAGGTGCTCCAGCACCCGTATGTGTCAGTCATTTCATGGCTTCTGCTCTTTATGGCGCCAAGACCTTAAGCCATAGTCGGTAACTCCAAGTGGAACATAGCGTACTGTGTCCCTGCTAGACACACGGCCAGCAACGAAGCCAGTATGGTGGCTTTCCACAAGGTTTGGTTTTTCATTACAGAAAAATCTTTATAACAACAAGAAGAACTCATGTCTATCAGATTCCTGTTGTCGGATTTTCCCCAGTTTCCTGGATATCTCAAGCATTCACAATTTTGCTTCTGTGTTTGTGGGTGGATTATTTTCTACTGAGAGGCAGAAAGCAAGAACAATGACTAATGTAAACACAGCTCTCACCACCACCAGCAAGAACGTCAAAGAACTGGGAGGGGAGCATGCAGCTAACACAGCCAGGAGGAAAAAAAAAAAAAAGCTCTTAGGAGCTGACCGTCAAGAGCCCGTGCCCGTGACGTACTTTAGAAAGTGCACGCAGTCTATGAGCTCGCAGAGTTTTTCTGTCTTCTTATCCCACACTTCCACCACAGGGCTATTTTTCTTAGCAACGTAGAGAGCCGTGTCCACTGCCACCGCGATGATGTTGGAATCACTGAAAGCTGCGTAAGAAAACCTATGAAGAAAAGCAAACAGGTCGCTTCTGTGATGTGTAGCAACAACCTCTCCCTAGTTCCCCACGCACTAGAGAATTAACACTACATGAAATAGCAACAAGATGAACCATGACTTATGTTGCTACTTTGCTTACCTGTGGTTATGCTATATTGATTTGATAACAAAATAACTTAAAGATTATAACTAATGTTTACTCCTGGCTCTGGTTTTAATTTCGCTTCTATCCGCTTCATTGGAAAATACCTACCATATCGTAACTACTAACTCAAATGTCACTATACCATCTATAACGTTTGACTGTTGCAGTAAAATCCTTGTTGGGAATCTTTGGAAAATTAAAGGCTGGCCATTTACTCTGACAGTTATAAAATATAAGATACTGAAATAAATTTTAGCGCTACTACCTTCAAATCCCTGTCGTGAACCCAAGGCAATCAAGTTGGGAGGGAAAAAAAAATCCACATCAACCAAACATAAATGAGAGTAAACTGACATTTTCTCCACCTCGAAAAGAAAGGACAACAACAGACACTTTTCTGTGTCTCTGCTGGCCTCAGACATTCGGCACTGTGAGTGTTTCACAAACATCCTGGCCTCCCACCCGCATGGTAGCTCCTGCTTAGCCCTCAGGCTTAGCTATGTGTCAGCTCCTCTGCACTCCTCGGGACCCATCCAGACCCCCTCGCCCCCGGGGCAGCTGCAACATGATGGAGCTTACTGAAAACAAAACTTCATGTATTACGCGCCCCTTACACAAGACCATGCAGTGTCAGCTTTCAGGGACAGGGCCAGGTCTGTTCTGCCTCACGTCCACAATCCAGTAAAGAGTTATTGCAGGGGTGAGTACTTGACACAGAGGTTAAAACATTGCGTGGGACATGCACGTGGCATGGCTCAGTGCCCGGATACAGGCCCCAGCCCCACTTCTGACTCCAGCTTCCTGCTGGTGCACATCCTGGCAAAGACTTGGGTCCCTGCCACCTACATGGGAGACGTGGGCTGCTCGGGGGCTTGGTTCAGTACAGCTATTTCAAGAAAGTGGAGCACAAACCAGTGGATCAAAGATCTCTTTCTCTTTCAATTCAAATGAAAAAACAATGTCAGAGTTATCACAGATAGGAACCGCTGAAATCCCAGACCACCCATTAAGTGGGAAGCCAGGACAGACGCACAGACGATGCAGAATGAGCCAAATGCATGAATGAAGGAAAAAGTCAAAACTGCAACTGAGGCCGGTGCCGCGGCTCACTAGGCTAATCCTTTTGCACGAAAATAAACTTAGTTTTAATTCTATTTTCTGCAGACCTTAAGAAGCCTCCTCACGCTGGCGCCACGGCTCAACAGGCTAATCCTCTGCCTAGCGGCGCCGGCACACCAGGGTTCTAGTCCCGGTCGGGGCACCGGATTCTGTCCCAGTTGCCCCTCTTCCAGGCCAGCTCTCTGCTGTGGCCCGGGAAGGCAGTGGAGGATGGCCCAAGTCCTTGGGCCCTGCACCCCATGGGAGACCAGGAGAAGCACCTGGCTCCTGCCATTGGATCGGCGCGGTGCGCCGGCCACAATGCACCGGCTGCGCCAGCCACTGGAGGGTGAACCAACGGCAAAGGAAGACCTTTCTCTCTGTCTCTCTCTCTCACTCTCCACTCTGCCTGTCAAAAAACAAAAACAAAAACAAAAACAAAAAAAAACTGCAACAGAATACACAGATGACAGGAAACCACTAGAGGACGTAACACTCTTCAGCATATACTGGGCAAAGAAGACTTTTTTCCCCATCCTTTTTTTCCATTCTTGCAACAGAAATGAAACACAATGTCGCCCGAGAGCCCACCATGTTTTAGGCAATTCCTACCTGGGTACTTGCAGTTTTCAATTGAAGGCAGAAGCACTTAGTAGAGAATTACAGCTTACAAAACACCACTGTGCGTTATCTCGTCTGATGCTTAATTAACAATGTCTACAGCATGATAAGCCTCAGTGTTTCCAGTTAGAGAAGAAAGAGGGAGAGATGCTAAATACTTTGCTGAAAGCCAGTGACTAACACGTTGCTGACACAGGACACAGCAGGAGTCCTGCGGAGTCTTCCCAGCCCAAAGGCAACCACCGCTCAGCACCCTGAACACTGCTCAGTCAGCAAGTACAAAGGCAAGGAGGGCGGTGACAATGAAGCAGCCCCAACGAGTGATGGGTGAGAAGGGGAACGAGGCAACAAGTGACATGGAAACATGTTTACTTCTGTATTTTACTGGAAAAGCAGGACAGACAGGTCTCCCACCTGCTGGTTCAAACCCCAAACACCTGTGATAGCTGGTGCTGGGCCTGGCTATAGCCAGGAGCTGGGAACTCAATCCAGGCCTCTCCCATGGGTGGCAGGGACCCACTGACTTGGGTTATCAGCTGCTGCTTCCAAGAGTCTGGATGCTAGCAGGAGGCTGGAATCAGAAGTACCACCAAATCTTGACGCTGGGCACCCCGACACGAGACACAGGCACCCTAAGCGGGACCCTCACTGCTATGCCAAACGCCCACCCCCAGACATTTTCTGAGAGGAGAGCTAGGTCACAGTCTGTCTGCTGGGATTGAACATCTTTGGGAACCTGGCACTAAGGATGGTCTCTGGTAGAGCGCCTGCATTGCGCATCGCAGATGGAGCTCTAAGGAGTGGACAGACTGACATCCAGGATTCCATAAAATGCCCTGTGATATAAAAGAAGTGGGGGCCCTGTCTTACCAAAGGTTTTTGGACTTGTATAGCGAATCAAGGGAACATCCAGAATAGGTTCAGCTCCATCCTTACTCCACACTAGGAGTCAAATCTGAACAAGATAGGAAATACAGGATTTACAACGCAGGGCAGTGTATCTTAACCCTGACCCCAGCAGAGTCACCTGCAGCTTGAAAAGCAGCTCAGGGGCCAATTTTGGGGTGCAGTGAGTTGAGCCACCACCTGCCACAATGGCATCCCATGTGGGCACCATTTCAAGACCTGGCTGATCTGCTGCCCCACTTCTAATCCAGCTACCTGCTAACGCGCCTGGGAAAGCAGCAGAACCTAGCCTCTGCCTCTGCCTCCCACAGGAGAGACCTGGATGAAGCTCCTGGCCTCAGCCTGGCCCGGTCTCTGCTACTGTGGCCATCTGGGGAGTGAACCAGCAGATGGAAGCACCATCACTCGCTCTCGCTCTTTGCCTTTAAATAAATAAAATCTGGAAGGAGAGAAATGGAGAGAAAAACAGAGAAGGGAAACAAAGAGAGTAAAGAAATGACTAACGGGGCCCCATCACAGGCCCCATCACAGGTCTGATTTGATTGGTGTGAGGTAGAGTCCAACATCCCATTATTTCTGTAGAATGGGACCAATGGTATTAAGAAACTAGTGTTTAAAATAGTTCTAGACTATGACAGCTGTTAGGAAGGGAAATGAGAGACACAACAGAAGCTGTTACACAGGCACCTGCACAGGTGAGACCTGCACAGGTGAGACTAGGAAGTGGCATTTGGACTCAAACAGGTAGGGTGGAAGAGCCATCCACACTCTGAGAAAACCATACTGCGAGCTGAACTGAGACAGCTCCCACTTGGATACAGCACACAGGGCCAGGAGTGGGCAAAATATCAATCCAGAGGGGGACACTGGAGAACTGGACAGAGCCAGTGCTGTGAACATGCCAGGTGAGAGATGGCTCCGAGTTCCCTGCACCAGCAGTGGGGGCAGTGAGAAGTCCCAGGATCACACCTCAATCTCAATCGTGAGCACCCAGATGGATGGATTTCTAGACTAGATTTCTAGTTTTGGAAATTCCCAAAACTCAGACTTACGACTCAAAGCTAATAATAACTAACGTTCACTGAGAGCATCCTAGGTAGCTAGTTGGTATTACACTACATTCCTTACATGAATTTTATTATCTAAGCCCCAGACCTCCCTTTGAGACAGAGCATACATAACCCTCAGGAAAAAAGACTAAAGATTTGAAAGGTTCTTGCCCAAGCTCACAAAACCAATAAACAGCAAAGCCTTGAATGATGGGTGATGCTATCATCACCCCACAGTGCTTTGTATGTCATAATAAAAACCAACTGGTTTGGTTAACATACAATTAAGAAACTGAAACAACAAACTGGGATGAGATTTATCTTCATCTGTTTTATGCTGCTGTAACTGAATGTCACAGACTGGGTCAGAGTTCTGGAAGACCAAAGTCCAAGCGGTCACACCTGGTGAGGACCCGGCAGAGCCCCGAGGTGGCACAGGCATCCCACGGGGAAGCAGAGCAAGCAGACAGCTCTGGTCTCTCGTCCTCCTCTCCTAAAGCCTCCTAAATGCAGTCGGGGGCTCCACACTCAGAACTGCCTCTCATCTTCATGACCTCCAAATGCCATTCACCCAGGACCCTGGGGATTAAGTCTCCAACACATGAAACCTGGGGGACATTTTCAAACCATAGCAGGGTATATAATTTATTACATTATTGTTTGAATAAGTCTAGTATCACTGACTTAATCAGAGTGGACATAGATGTGTTTTCCAAATCTAGAAAGTTCTTTATGCAGTCTATGTTTCCTGCACTCAATACTTAATGGAAATTATCCAAAGCTGTAAATGACTAAGGTGAATGTCTTCTAATCTCTTATGTTTAATTTAAAACAGACAAATTCATAACAATTTAGATTCTAAACACTACTAAGATTACATATTGTCTATACATTTTATCCTAAAATTGACAATGCTAGGTGATATTTTAATGTCTTTCTTCTTTCTATAATTTCTAAATTTTCTATAATTAATGATTAATTTTGAGAAGGAGAAATAAAATATGCATTTAAAGAGATTGATCTTAGATTTTCTACGATATCATTCAAACAATTAAAAAACAACAATAAAATGTTAAAATGGTTATAAAGACAGAAAATAACTTACAGCTGATTTGTCCTTGTTTCAATGAGTTTCTGAACAGTGAAATCATGAGACAATGAGAAAATCTTGGTTCCACACCCTCCCCACATCGTGTTTTTCTCTGTTGAATTCACGGATTCACTCAGGCACATCAGTGGGGTGCTCACGTTTCCGATGTTGAGGGTCTTCACAGGAGCGGCTCCTTCACACTTGGCCAAAGGGGAGAGCGCACAGACACGCTGAGTATCTGCAGGAGGAAGTGCTATGCAGTCTGCACCTCCTAGACCCACTGAGACGGGAAATACTAAATGTTCACACGTGTTTTCCCAAGTTTATATAAAAACAGGATTCACTTAAAATGGTAAGCAAAATGCTATATTTATAGCCAATCTCTTCTTTTCTCCATGCAAATATCATCCGAGAAATAACCTAGGGATTCTCTCTGACTTCTCTCTCGCTTGAGATAGTAACTGAAATAGGAAAGGATGGAAACCTGAACGACTGGGTGGAACCACAGATGAATGGATGCATGAAGGGACAAATGCTTTATCACTAAATGAGATTATGAAGGCAGGCGGATGGAGTGATCTCTTCAGTGGCAAAGAGGCAATTAACGGAATTAAAATCTAGGTAATCTTTATTTTCTCCAGCGTATACTTACAAGGAATGACCTGCTGCACTCATGAATAAATGGAGTTAGTTCTATTCCTAACGTTGTAAACCAGATTTTATTTATCACTTAATTCTTAGTTAATTCATATAAAATATTCAGTCATCCAGTAATATCTTTTGGAGGATCTTAGCATGCAAGACTATGAAATGACAGATGAAAAGCAGGATTCACAATGCTTGCTCTCTGGGAACTTATAATCACAGAAGAGTAAGATGAGATACACGAAACAAAGTCAGACTTAAAAAATTCAGCGTTTACCTTCACAGTCTTATCTTCAAAAATCGCTAACTTGCCATCAGCAGTTCCCACCAAAAGAAAATTTTTTTGCTTGCTAAAAGGAAAAAATGTCAAAGTTGTAACCGAAAGAACATTTCTCTCAATTGAGATGGCTTCAAAGGCCTCCCCGACTTGACTAAACTTTAGAAAGGCGCCTTTCTCAAGGTGGACCCCTGACCTCCCCAGAACATCTACACTTTCCAAAACTCCCAATTATAAAGTCTTTCTCTGCCCCTTTGAGATTCAAATCTTTGTGCAGATTTTTTGAGTTTTAGAATCCAGGAACGCCATCCCCATTGCCCTGGGAGCCATCTCTTTGAAATGCACTCATCAGTAAACGCAGCGCCCCTGTCTCCAGGTCTCTGAGGGCCAGAACAATGTGGAAGCACAGACGGTAGCAACCAAGCTCCCCACTAACACTCAGGAACTTCTCCATAGCTGGAGCTCAACCGTGAGCCTAAAATTCCCTCGCCTTTCATTCACTGGATTTGAGTTTGATTCTCTCTCTCTCTCATACTGAGATAGCTTTCCATAAAGTCTCCCTCACCTGTTAACCCTACGCAGTGAAATTCTTCTTTAGCCATATTCACATAGTTTAAACTTGAAAACTACCAGTGGAAATTATGTTTTAGGTACCAAAAAATTGGGGCTTCATACTTCTCTCTTTTTTTTTTTTTTCCAGTACTGTCTTAAATCAGAAAAGCCTTTGAGACAGACTCCTAGAGGCTCCAGGAAACCATCTTGCCCAAATAATACAGCAACCAACCTATGACGGACACCTGAAACTCCATTTCTTCACTCAGTTTCTTTGGCATAAAATCATATTAACAATTTAGTGTGTGTAAGATTATTTAGGCAACTGATATTTTAAAAACTGGTACACGGGCTGGCGCCATGGCTTAATAGGCTAATCCTCCACCTTGCAGCGCCAGCACACCGGGTTCTAGTCCCGGTCGGGGCACCGGATTCTGTCCCGGTTGCTCCTCTTCCAGGCCAGCTCTCTGCTGTGGCCAGGGAGTGCAGTGGAGGATGGCCCAAGTGCTTGTGCCCTGCACCCCATGGGAGACCAGGAGAAGTACCTGGCTCCTGCCTTCGGATCAGTGCGGTGCGCCAGCCGCGGCGGCCATTGGAGGGTGAACCAATGGCAAAGGAAGACCTTTCTCTCTGTCTCTCTCTCTCTCACTATCCACTCTGCCTGTCGAAAATAAATTATAAGCTCAACATAATCTGGTACACAACAGCTGCTGACTACATAGATACATAGATATTCAAAGGAATACGTGGATTCATCTGAAAAAGCCCCACCAGTGAATGTCAGTGTGAGGAAAAGGGAAGAAACAGACCCAGTCTTAGTCTGTGTGCGAGGTCAGGAGCAGGGCTTGTGAGCTTGAAGAAATGGCTGACACCCCTGATACCACCTCAGCTCATCTATATACAGAAAAATAGTATTTATAAACTGTGGTCTCTCACAATTCCATTCATATATGCAAACCAATAGCAGCACATTTAATAAAATCAGTCCTGGCTGATACAATAACTAAGTCAGCTCTTGATCTTCAAACTCTCTCCCTTACCTTTGCTTAGGAAAGGAATTGCAGTATAAGCAAGTGACAGAATCGGTCATCTTTTCCAGGCTGTGTCTCCTCTTCCCATCCTCCGTGCTGATGGCCAGGAGGGCACCAGACTGAGTCCCACACACAATCCAGCTTTCCTTCTCAACAGGAAGGGACACCAAGGCCAGGCACAGGACTCTGCTCTCACTAACTTCCTGTTAAGAAATGAGAACACGGCCTGAAGGACTCGGCTGTAGCCTGAGTAACAAGAACATGTATGTGGGCCTTCGAAAAAAGTCCACGGAAATGGAATGAAAAAAAAAATGTTTATTTCAGTAGAACAAAATCTTGAAATTACATCATTTTTTCATAATATACATTTCCATAAACTTCTGAAGACCATTCATACATGGGTTTCAAAGCTTCTTGCATTCAAATGAGCTTTTCATTCCATTTCCCTAAACTTTTTGAAGTTCCCTCTTATATAAAATGAAAACATTCTGTTAATAACATACACAACTCTTATTTTCTTGCATTTAGTTTTTAAAACACTGTTGAAGGATCCAAGATGGTTTCGTAGGGAAAAGACATGCTGATTTTGACCAGAGGAAGATAACAGAAGAAAAGGGGAGAACTACCTTCCCAGGGGACAGCTGGAGAGAAGTTTGCAGTAAGATTTCTACAGAACATAGACAGACTCACGAGAGAATCAATTACCCGAGTTAAAGAAATCCATATGTAATATGAGTGAGCAATTCCACTGGGAGACAGAGACTGAAGAGAAATCAAACTGAAATATTAGAAATGAAGAATTCCATATGCCAAATAAAAAATACAGTGGAAAGCCTTAACAACAGACTCAGTGGAGCAGAAGAAAGAATAATCGAACTAGAAGACAAATCCATGGAAGTAACTCAGGAAAAAAAAAGAAGAAAAATTAGAAAAACTGAAAATAGTGTTTGAGGTTTATTGGATACTTTCAAACAACCAAATATATACACCTTATGAGTTCTTGAACGTGTGGACAGACAGACTCGACTAGAAGACCTGTTCACTGAAATAAAAGAAAAATTCCCTAATTTGAAGAAAGATAGGGACATCAAAGTACAGGAAACAAAAATGGCAAAGAAAAGATCTTCACCATGACATATTATAGACAAACTTTCAAAAGTAAAGCATAAAGAAAAGATCCTAAAATGTTCCTGAATGAACAGTGGGTCATAGGGAAAATCAAAAAATTCCTAGAGGTGGATGAAGATTACAACACAACATATTAAAACTTACAGGACACAACAAAAGCTGTGTGAAGAGGAAAGTGTATAGCAATTAGTGCCTATTTCAAGAAATCGCAAAGACATTGAATAAAATGATCTAACAACGCACCTCAACGATCTAGAAAAATAAGAACAAATCAAATCCTAAAAGCAGGAAAGAAATCATTAAAATTAGAGAATAAAAAGTTGAAACCAAAAAAAGGTACAAAAGATCAGTGAAATGAAGAGCTACTTATTAAAAAAAAAATTGATATACCACTGACCGAACTAACCAAAACAGAGACAGACAGAGAGAGAGAGAGAGAGACCCCAAATTAATAAAATCAGAGATGAAAAAGCAGCCGTTACAACAGATACCACAGAAATAAAAAGACCATCATGAATTACTACCAGCAGCTATACACTAGCATATTAGAATTCTAGAGGAAAAATGGATAGCTTTCTGGACATATATAATCTACGAAAAATGATTCATGAAGACAGAGAAAACCTAAACAGACCAATAACCAAGAAGCAGATAGAATCAAAAATAAAGACCCTCCCTACAAACAAAAGCCCAGGACTGGGTGGTTTCACTGTTGAATTCCACCAATCTTTTAAAGAAGAACTAATTCCAATTATCCTCAAACTATTCAAAACAATTTAAAAAGTATGTCATGTAAAAATTAAAATTAAAAATTAAAATAAAAATAAGAAATGAGGGTGGCAGTCAGGGAGGGTAGGGTGGGAAGTATCATTATGCTCTTAAAACAATATATTAGGCCGGCGCCGCGGCTCACTAGGCTAATCCTCCTCCTAGCGGCGCCGGCACACCGGGTTCTAGTCCCAGTCGGGGCGCCGGATTCTGTCCCGGTTGCCCCTCTTCCAGGCCAGCTCTCTGCTCTGGCCAGGGAGTGCAGTGGAGGATGGCCCAAGTGCTTGGGCCCTGCACCCCATGGGAGACCAGGAGAAGCACCTGGCTCCTGCCTTCGGATCAGTGCAGTGCGCTGGCCACAGCGCGCCAGCCGTGGCGGCCATTGGAGGGTGAACCAACGGCAAAAGGAAGACCTTTCTCTGTCTCTCTCTCTCTCTCTCCACTCTGCCTGTCAAAAAATAAAAAAATAAAATAAAATAAAAACAATATATTAAATATATGGAAATTTGTCCCATTTTTATAAAGAAAAAAATTTAAAACACTGTCATTTTTAACAATAAGTGAGATGGCCAGGAATAAATTTTGCCTATCTGGAACTGAAAAGTTGAAAATTATTTTTCCACATTAGTTCTCACTCCATGGAAACCACTATGAGAAGACTGTTCAACATAAAGAATGATATTTGGGGCTGGCACTGTGGCTCACTAGGCTAATCCTCTGCCTGTGGCGCCGGTACCCTGGATTCTGTCCCAGTTGCCCCTCTTCCAGTCCAGCTCTCTGCTGTGGCCCGGGAGTGCAGTGGATGATGGCCCAGGTCCTTGGGCCCTGCACCTGCATGAGAGACCAGAAGAAGCACCTGGCTCCTGGCTTCAGATCAGTGCAGCGCTGGCCGTAGTGGCCATTTTGGGGGTGAACCAATGGAAGGAAGACCTTTTCTCTCTGTCTCTCTAACACTGCCTGCCAAAAAAAGAAATGATATTTGTGCATTTATTTCAAGGCAGGAGCAAAAATACCATGTTATTTACTAAGTCTAGGCATTTATCCTGTATTGTCAGTTCCTTGAGGAGTCCCGTAGGAATAGCCCTGATCAAGCACCCTCCGCTCTGGCTGCTCAGTGCTGGCTCCTGGCAGTACAGAGCCCTGCTCTCCATCACAGCAGCCCTTGGAGGTAACCTGCCCTCAGGGCCATGGAGGTGACACCGCCACCTCTGGGCAGCCTGCAGTCCATGACTCACTGGTGAGGAGAAGCAAGACTTGCCACTCAACTGGTCTTGGGCAGTTCCAGGCTGGCCACACTCCTGGGCTCCTGGGGACAAAGACATTGGCTGCCCTTGCTCTGAGCCCACAGGCTTCCTGAATCCTCCCTCGGCCCTTGTGCAACTTCACCCATCTCCGGCTCCGGCTCTTTTTCTGGAGACAGACGGACACACACACACACACACACACAGGTGCACACAGTAAGACAAAGCAGACTAATCCCTTGGGAACACTCTTGTCCTCACAGAAAGTCAACTTGGGAACTCTCCCGCACTGGCTCCTACTTCGCTTCTTCCTGGGTTGGTGTTTCTCTGGCACATGCTTTCAGTGAGACACAGAGCACGGTTCTCAGAGCTTCCTGGCTGGAGGCACTCGCCTTTACCTCAGTAGTGTGTCCTTCCGTGTTGAGGTTAAGAAACGACAGCTGCCCCTTGTCGGTGTGGCTGCAGCCCAGCCAAATGCTCGTGCTCTTGCCTCCGGGGCTCGAAGCCACCATGCACTCGACGGTGACACTCTTAGGGATTAGAATGTGTCTCATCAGACAGATCAGCTCAGCGGAATTCAAAATGTCAAACACCTGTGAGGTTTGAAGACAACACATCAATGGCCATCCAGGGGACACGGCTCCCCCTGAAAGATCAGCTTTGGAATGCAATGGTACCGCCCTCTCCAGCCGACCAGTGAGCCACCCCCCCATTTCATCAAAATGTACAGCCTGAATTCCCGGGCAAACCACACTGAAACAAAAATGAGCATGATTAACCTATGCACAGCGTATACTCTGTCCTCTAGAATTTTCTTAACTTGAAAAGTAAATCTCAGAAGTGCCAACTGCCTAGAATTGTAGCAGATTCAGGAGTTACCGTAGGGCTGCATCAATATATGCATACATAGGGCATCTATCACATACTACGTTATATATATTATATATACTCCAGACTTACGAAATTTATACAAGTGTGCATATTTACAAGTGTGTGTGTGTGTGTGTGTATATATGTACAGGATGTACTTTAGAGTACAGGAACACATTCTGACTCTAACCATACCTGCGCAGAAGTAGGCCTTTCTTGAGGATTTTCTTTCAAACACTTTTTAATTAACTTCTCCACCAATGGCCAGGGAGTACAGCCATATTCTTTAACTGGATCTAAAACATCAGAAACATTGAGAAACACATCATGCTGTGATGCTAAATAAATCAGAACAAAGTTTTATCTCCTCTCAGTGTATACAACCAGTTCAGATACTGTAAAGGGAAACATTGACAGGTGAATTGACTTAAAGCTAAGTTTGCTAACTTGTTCTCCACTAGGAAATTAAAAAAAAAAGTCTTGATGTTCTTACGGTATAAAAATAGACCGAAGCACCACCCAAGTACAACAACTGGTATTGAGTCTACACCTGCATTTACATACTTTGAAAACACCATCGCTCATGTGCTAATTAATTAGCCTTCCATGGAAATAATGTTTAACTCTGAGAGCTGGTCCTTATCTTGCCACAGCTGGTTTGTACACATTCATGTAAGAGGGACCCCATGCTGGGTGGGGAAGGGTGGAACCCAGGACCTCACTGGAAAGCCAGCTGGTAGAAGAGGGAGGTGACCTGGACAGCGCCTAACAGCTATCCACATAGCAGTACGTCTCCACCTGCCAGGGCCTTCACACGTTCCCTAAAAGGAGGGAGGGAAACCTCCGGTGCCCTGCACCTGCACAAGCACACTCTCAGAAACAGCTGCTGCACTAAAAGGCCAGTAGGAAATCTGATAAGCAGCTCTATCAATTTAAAAGCACATGGTGTAGTGGGAACTCAAGGAATGGTGAAGGAAGGAGTGCTAAAGTTCTCGAATTTTCGAAGCATGACTCAAGAATTCAAAATGAGGATTGAGCTCATGACGTATTCCTTCACTAATTTTTATTTTAATTTACTACTAAAAGGTATATAAAAATTCAAGATGCCAATCCTGCATATAAATTACTGTACTCCCAGAAAATGAAACTACTCCAGACCGATGGGCACGTGGCATCTCTTTATGAGAATCAGAGGTCCCCAAACGTGGGCTTCCAATGCCACTTCCTTTCTGACTGTTCTTCCAAATGCAAAACCAAACACACCAATATTAATCTGGGATTCTTACAAAAGCCTATTGCTGCTACTCTGGTCATGTGATTTTATTAACTTATCACTGGAGTTACAAATAGTCACACCAGACACACGAAAAATTATCAGCTATGCAATGAATCAAGCATATAGCTACAATTAAACAACTCAGAAATGAAGTTAAGGACATTAAGAAAAACTCCTGATTGTAGATAAAAGAGAACTCACCAGGTAATTTTCCTTGTATTGCTAATTCATCAAATTCATTGGGGAACTTCAAACCCTCTACGATCCTACCTCCCGTTGTCAAAATGTCATAGAGCAGCAAGCCAAACGAATACACATCGGCCTGCTGGTTATAAATGACATTTCCTCTGGCAACTTCAGGCGCACGAAACCCTGAAAGCAAGCAGACACTGTGGTCAGTATGTCCGAGACCCAGGACCATGCATCCAAGCAGGCACATGCACAGGCCTTGTGCCAAGCAGACAGGCAGGAAGGGTGAGTTCCAAACCACCTCCTCCTACTCTCAGGAGCATCTCAATCAAGATAATTAACAGCCCTAGGCCAGGACACTTCACCCCCAAAAACCCTGAAAGATAGCAAGATCTGTCAATCATCATTAGAAGACCTTACGATCTTGTTATAAAGTATATCATCTTCCGTGAGACTGCCTTGAAAGATGATGAGGGTAAAAATTCAACAGGTTATTAGTAGAATTTCCCAACTAAAGAAATGAAGTTGAATGGAGAAAAAAACTGAATCATTTAATTCAACCTTAATAGTAACCATTTGTGTGACAGTGATTTACACAGAGAGAGATCAGGGGCCAGTGTTACGGCCTAATGGGTTAAGCCGCCACCAGCAATGCCAACATTCCATATAGGAGCCGGTTTGAGTCCCAGCTCCTCCACTTCTGATCCAGTTCTCTGCTAATGCACCTAGGAAAGTAAGAGATGTCCCAAGTCCTTGGGCCCTGCACCCACATGGGATATCTGTACAAACCTCCTGGCTTCTGGCTTTGGCCTGGCCCAGTGCTGGCTGTTGCAGCCATTTGGGGAGTGAACCAGCAAATGGAAGATACCTCATTCCCTCTCTTTCTTTCCCTCTCCTCTCCCTGTCTTCTCCTCCCTCCCCTCCCCCCTCCCTCCCTCTCTCTCTCTATCAAACTAGCTTTCGAAGAAACAAAAGAAACCTTATAGCAAACAAAGAGGGGTCAAGAGGGAGGTTTCCAGACTTCACTCCTGACAACTTTAGCCCGTCTACCCTTGCACTGCCTTTACTTTTACCAGAATTTACAGCTCTAATGAAAAATAAAAGCCCCACCTAAAACAAGTAAAAGCTGCTGTTCTAGGTTCATGCCTAGATTCTTTTAAAGGGAAATAATCCTCTCAACCCACAAGAAAAATAAACCACTTTTGAATTTTTCCCCCAAAAAGAACATTTCAATAATATTGGTAACAATATAGGAGCCAGCACTGTGGCTTAGTGGGCTAAGCCTCTGCCTGCGATGCCAGCATTCCACATGGGTGCCGGATTGAGTCCCAGTTGGTCCTCTTCCAACCCAGTCTCTGCTACGGCATGGGAAAGCAGCAGAAGATGGTCCAAGTCCTTGGGCCCCTGCACCCACATGGGAAACCTGGAGAAGCTCCTGGCTCCTGGCTTCGGATTGGCTCAGCTCTGACCATTGTGGCTAACTGGGTAGTGACCCAGCAGATGGAAGACCTCTCTCTCTCTGCCTCTCCTCCTCTAACTCTTTCAAATGAATAAATATATCTTTTTTAAAAAAAGATAGTATAAGCAATCTAAAGAAATCCAACCACAAGAGAAAGAGTTAAACAGTACAGTTACATAATCATTTTTTAAGATAAAATGCTATCATATGAATGAGAAGAAAACATGCAATGCAATTTTGACAGAAAGTTACATGTGAAAAAATGGAATCATTTTCTTAGCTGTGATTATGGTATTCTGATTATGCAAATTAGCATCCTTATTTTAAGGAAATTTATGCCAAACGTGTTTAGTGATGAACAGTATGATATCTAATATCAGACTCCAAAGATTTTATGCATATGTAAAGACAGCAAGAGGAGGAACAGCTGAGACAAAAAGGCAGTATCAGTGAACCTGTACCTGTGCTGCCTGGGTTATACGTTACTACGGGCCCAGTTTTTCTGCAGCTTAAATACTCTCAAACTAAAAAGTGTGAGAGAATACACACGGTCAAAGGTTAGAGAGAAATACACCAACAGGTAATGATGATTAGTCCAAGGCACTGAAATGATGTGTGAATTCTAATTTCTTTTTCATACATTAATTTGTTTTCCAAAGAATATGTATTAGGGTTATAGTAACTTCCACAGGCAGCCAGGAAAATTTAACAGAATATGAATTCGAGGCTTCAAGGAGTAAATGTCTCAATTTGAAAACAGTTTCTGGACCGAGAGCCTGCAGGGAAGCAACGACGCTCAGGTGACCTTCGACTGGCAAGAACACCAGATACTGAGCTGGAGCACGGTGGCCCCGTGCACTGGCCGCTTGTCTCCACCCCATCTATGCAAGCTCACACAGTCATATATGAGTATATTAATGTACTATATGTCATACTAACATAGCATTATGTAACAATACTCTGATATTAATAGAGCAATAGCTTCAAATAGCATGTAGTGTATATAATCTTTATATCATGTAGAATATACACATTCCGTGTATATAATTAGAATACCACTTTCATATCTAAAACTGAAGACAGTTCTAACACAGGGGTGGGCAGTCAGCCTACCGGTTATGACACCCATGCCCCACATTAAAGTGCCTGAGTTCACGTCCTGGCCCCAGCTTCAGACTCCTGCTTCCTGCTAACACACATATCCCACGAGGCAGTTGGGCTGCAACCACCCACAGGGGAGACCTGGATGGCTGTGGGGGGCAACTCGGACTAGACTAAGTTATTGGAATTAAGACTTATTCTATGCATCTGCTCTCCCACAATATGGCGCTGAAAGGGAGCAAACAACTTCTACGCAGCTGCCTCTCGCCAACTTGACTGATAAGCTGCAGGAGCTGATCCTGCTCCTGACTGGAGGAGAGCAGCGTGCTCGGCATGTGGGTAGCAGAGTTGGGATTGGTGGAAGAGGACTATAAAGGAGGAGAGAGACAACATGCACCAGGAACATCTGAAGGAACACCTGAGCAGCCCCCGAGAGAGCCGGCCGGCGGTGTGCCGCTCCCCCGCGGAAGTGGGGAAAGTGGCAGGGGGAGCTGCCCCTCCACGGAGGTGGAGGGGTCGGCAGCCAACCTGGGAAGGACCAGCAGCAAACCCAGGAAGGGCCGAGCAGACAAAAGAACAGCGCAGGGTCCTGTGTCGTTCCTCCGTGAAGAGGGGGAGCGACAGATGGCATTCTCTCTCCCGGTTCTGGCCCCAAGAGCAGCCATTTGGGCACACACCCAGAGACAGGAGCTCTCTCCCTATCCATCACTGTCTCTTTTCTTTCTGTCTTGGTGCCTCTTAAATAAACCAAAAAATTTAAAAGTCTTTAAATGATAGTTCTGTATCTCCTTAATAGAGTACCCATGATGTAAGTAAAGAATCTTCAACACCTCCTAACTCATTCAGCTCCAGCATTCTACAGATACCTCTGGAGCACGCCGTTCAGCACACACAGGAACAGCAGCAGCCATGATTTCCCATCTCCTAAATGACATAATCCTTTCAGAAATGTTACGACTTCTTACAGCCACACAGCTAAGGAATGGAAAAATCAAGAGAACTGATAAACAATCACCTATGCACACATTAATAGATCCGTTAACCGACTTTATGCTTATGAGAATTTAAAAGACACTGTGGAGGCTTATTTAAATCTTACCCAATTATTTACTGCTCATTCAATGTATTGATTGGTTCTCTGTTCTAACAAGGTACTATCCAAGGATTTTTAAAATGCTCAGCAAATTTACTCTTAGCGCAATTTTAATTGAAAGATGTCAAAACTGGCAAACACGGCAGTCTAATTTCATTTCCCAATTCCCACTAAAGGCACATATTCTGTACCCCTCCAGCAGTGAATGAGACCATCAAGGGGCACGGGAGGCTGCACAGTTTTTCACAGTAAGTCGGAGGATACTGAGAAGGGTAACTGTGACGATATGGAAGGAAATGCTCGCTGCCACATGGAAACGCTTTTAACCTTTTCTCCTGTCTTCCAAAGCAAACATCTTCAGTGGTGTGATCCCCAGCACGGGAATACAGTATTATTTATACATTCAGGAAGCGTCTCAATTATAAGGCCTTTCTAAATGCTTTGTTAAGGACATCCAGTGAGTTCCTCATACTCTTGATTACGCTAACAATTTCTTGATGAACACCACACAACCATTAAGTAGTTGAGCCAGTTTGATCCTTGGTATGAGTGTAATAAATTGTTTGCAAATGCATGAATAAATGAATGAAAATTACGCATGATTTTTCCTTGGAGAATCATAACAATCACAATGTCAAAATAATTAAGCAATATGCTTCATTGTCTAAAAACTATCTTTAGAAACAGTCTGTCGGAGATGCTTACATTTTAACAAGTGTAATGAGAACAAAAAGAAGTATCGACAGGAAGGATGATACATTTACAATTTAGGTGTAAATGCATATCACAGTGGATGCAGATATATGTATTTTTTCTTTTCCTTTCAGAAACATCTGAGCAGAGCATGTTCACAGTATCCACCAGAGAGCAGTGTACGATGCAGGAGGAACCTTCGGTTTTCCCAGAAACTGTTCTGTTTCCCGGGCTATCACCAAGCGGAAGCCATCAGTGAGCATTCATTTCCATCAGCTGCAGCTGCCAGCAGACCCAGACTCCACGGGCGCCCTGCGCAGGGAATAACTGAGCACATCCATCTGACTGAGCTAACACGGAAACTCTCCAGTTCCCGAAAGCTGGCTACTGCCCACCTTCACCGTCCCGAGCAGCCACGCGCTGCCCGCAGTCCTGTCAGTCGCCGCCCTGCTCTGCCTTTGCTGCAGTGTGCAGAGGCTCTGGTTGCAGCCACCTGGGTCTGCCATCCACACCCTCTGCATCCTGGTAGTGTTCTCCAAGCTTAGTTTCCTTGTCTGCCAACTAGAAATCATAGCAGGACCTACGGCAGGATTAGGAGAATTTAGAAAGATATTCAAACCACACAAAGGGCTAAGCGCCACCCAGGCACAACTTCCTGTTCAAGAATGGTTGGCTCCTGCAACCATACCGAGACAAAAGTACCCAGAACAAAGGGCTTGCCATTCCTTTCACCCAGTAAAAGACTTTTTTTTTTTTCATTTATTTACTTATTTATTAGGAAGGCAGAGAGACAAATATTCCATGCACTGGTCCATTCCCCAAATGACTGCAATACCTAGGGTTTGGCCAGACCAAAGCCAGGAGCCCATCCAAGCCTCCCACATGAGTGGCAAGGATTCAAATACTTGAGCCATCATGCATGGCCTCCCACAGTGCACATTAGCAGGAAGCTGGATTGGAGGCAGGGCCAGGACTTGAACTCATGCACTCAGGTATGGGGTGTGGACATCCAAGGGGTGTCACTGCATCAAACACCTGCCCCATGACTTTTAAAGATGTATCTTGACGTCAAACATTCTCGTGTTTGTGTTCAGTATCACATCAGTGACTGTGTTGTGTGTGGCACACGATACAGTGATAAAAATCACAGCAGGAAGTGACAATAATTTACACAATACCCGCCCACAATGTGACAGGCATGGTGTTTAACTTCCGAACTCACATCCGAGGCCACCGGCTGTCCGTCGTGCGGGAACAATTCCCACCGCACCCTGTCACCCACCTGGCGTGCCCTCTGAGGTTTTGATGCCCATCCTGCAGCAGTACTGAGAAATCCCGTAGTCGGCGATCTTCGCGATGATGGCGGCGTTGGGGTACAGGGTGAACAGCAGCACGTTGTGGGGCTTCAGGTCCCGGTAGATGATCATGGCTGAGTGCAGGTATCTGCCAGCAAGTGCACACGGAGTCTTAGCAAACTGCGCTTACGCCACAATCCCTCTGGTTGTGAGTCCCTTGAATATGTATAAGGGTACTTTCAAAAGTTCATGGAAAACAGAATTAAAAGCTAGGTTTATTTTAGTGCAAACCATTTTTCAACCCCAAGCAGTTTTTTTTTTCTTAATACACATTTTCCATGAACTTTTGGAAGACTCCTCAAAAGCAGGGAATCCAAGAACAATTTATACCAAAATAAACTCAGCTTTCCATTCCACTTTCCGGGAACTTTGTGAAGTCCCATCAAATGGGTAAGATGCAAAGAGTCAGACTTTATTTTACTAAGTTTGACCCCCAAAGAGATACTTCAGAAGGAAATCAAACCATATCAAACTATTACAAAAAATGCATTTAAAAAATTATCAATCCTGGTAAGTGAGTAATTTAAACTCAAAGGACAAAACTGTCTTGACAAAGCCCCAGTTCTTGGAGATTTTCTTTCATCCACAGTAGCAATTACTGAAGAGAACTCTGAGCTCCTTAGATGAGTATATGAATATTGTAAATATTTTCAAACGTAAATATGCGAAGAGTTCATAGGACTTTCTGGAAACTCCATACAAGTTGATTGCAGCTTTGAAATTTCTCTCTATTTATCTCTCACATTCAATTTTTTCTGACTAGAATGGTTCCTAGTGGTTCAGAGAATATTTTACAATTTTTCAATAATAACAAATCAGAATGTGTGACTTCTTTTTTTAACTCCTAATCTCTTGCTGTGCTGGAAGACACGGCTTACTGCAAACTCAATTCTTTCATACAGTTAACGAAGAACATCTGGACTGAGTTAGAATACACAGAACACTGTCTGAGGAAAGATGACGTTGGCTGGTGTCAAACCCTTCCTTTCAGAGACCAATTCAGACAGCTATAAGCACATTTTAGGCAAAGGACAAAACCTAACGACCAACACACACACACACACACACACACACACACACACACAATGTTTTCATCTCAACTAAGCCTCATCTACTCCAGAAACACAATCAAAGAGCTTACTGGGCCCACTGACTGACTATTTCCCTAAACACATGTGAAACTCTGATTTTCCCCGATTCTGTCTTCTCTCTCCCTGGAGGTCAGCTGACTGCCACCATGCGCGTGATCCCACACGGGCATATCGTAAGCAGCCTGAAAGCACACTTCTTCACAGGACTTAATGGGCCTAAGCATAAGTCCTTTGTTTGCTCGGGTTCGCATTCTCTGGGTAAATATTGACTCCATTACTTAGTCCCCATCAGTGCTGTAGGGATTAGAGCAGAATGCGGGGAGAGCCTGGGCTTGCGCGAGGGCTGCCTGGGCAGGTGTCCTGTAACTGTAACATCAACGGTGTAGGGAGGCCTCCCTTCCAGGATGTAGTGAGGAATCTGACGTTAGCCCTCTGCATTTCAGGAAACCTAGTTCTGGCTGAGAAAATAAGACAAGGTCCTAATGAAAGTGACCTTAACGTAAGTAAGGAGCTTGAGCAAGGCATTTGCTAAGGGCTTCACTGAGAAGCCGTAGGCCTGTCCTCCTGCTGAAGGTGAACACAGAGTTCAACCCCAGTCACACGCCACGGAGCAGCATCCAAAGCCTTTGTAATGCATGCTGCTTTCAGGATATTTAGAGATCACAGACACAGAATACCTTCTGTAGGCTAAAAAAATTAGATACACTTAATTTGAATAATATCAGCAGGAGAGAGACATTATCTGGCCTAGTTAAAACGTTCAATTACAGAATTTAATCTTTAAAAAATGTGATTTTAATAGCTTTCAACAGAGTCAGAAAACTCCCTTTGAAATAGTAATAATTACAGATCCTGCCTTACTGGCAATAATTCAAATATAATTTACATATTGTGACAGTGAGTATTGTCAAATATTTTATGAAAATAAACTGGTCATTATTCAGTGAAACAGTCGTGATTTAATAGAAATTTTGAAAAGAATGGCTAAGAAATTCCTTTCTTCATTTAACCTTTATTTCATCCTTACAGAATTAGTCTACAAGTGGAATGCATTCACCCATCTAACAGAAATGTCTTCAGCACCCGTGAGGACCAGCCAAGGTGCGGAGCTGTCTCTGCATCCCAGACAGGTGCACAAAGGTGGCCACAGGAACGCCACTCACAAACGCTGGAGAAGCACCGGGGGGAACAGGACACAGGGGGTGGCCGCTTCTGCCCCTCCCTGGAGCCACTCAGGCACAACCTCACCTCCACCGCTCCCTCCTCTGCGCCTCGTGCAAGGTTCCTCGTGCAGTAGGCACACAGTCGTGGTCGGGAGGCTCATGTATCATGCGTCAGCTGAGCCTCACAGCAGAGACACAAGCAAATTCCCAGGGAAAACGAGTTTGCTGGGCAGAACCCCGTGGGAACAGAGGCACACAAATGCCAGGACAGAAACGACCCCAAGTGCTCCAGAATGCCAGCATGCAGTGTGGCACGGTGTCACACACTACAGACAACTGTGCAGGTGCCACACACACACAGAAAAGACCCGGGGCCGCACAGGCCAAATTTACCCTGGACAAACGTGGTGAGACGTGCAAGGTACCCCATGAAAATCTAGAAGTATTCCATGTTGGTCAAAATTGTTTAGAAGTAAAATCATACAATAGTGATAGGAGTGAGCACTGTGGCATAACAGGTTAAGCCACCATCTGAGGCGCTGGCATCCTATAAGGGCACTGGTTCAAGTCTCAGCTGCTCCACTTCCAATCCAGCTCTCTGCTAATGGCCTGAGAAAGCAGTGGAAGACGGCCCAAGTGCTCGGCGCCTGCATCTGTGTGGGAGACCCAGAGGAAGTTCCAGGCTCCTGGCTTTAGCCTGGCCTATCTCCACCCATTGTAGCCGTTTGCGGAGTGAACCAGCAGATGGAAGACCCCTCTGTCTCTGTCTCCACCACTCTGCCTTTCAATGAATAAATCTTGAAGAACAAGCATCAATTCTTTTCACATAACGGCATGTGTTCAGTGAGCAGAGAAGGCTGGGGGAGGACAGAGGCACTGACACAGGCTCTCATGCTACAGCCATCAGCTGGGCGTGCAGCCCACAGAGCTGGGAACCACTGGCAAACTACAGCCACCAATGGGGTTTTAATTTTAGAAGGTGTATTATGATAATTCCCTGGAAGTACTTGACCAAGGCCGCAGTTGTGACTGGTGTTGTGGTGCACTAGGCTAAGCCACCACTTGCAATCCAGGTTCAGTTCCCAGCCACTCCACTTCCGACCAGCTCTCTGCTGCTAATGGCCCTGGGAAGGTAGTGGAAGATGGTGCACGCGCTTGGGCCTGTGCCAGCCACACGGGAGACCTGGATGGAGTTCCTGGTTCCTGCCTGGGCCAGCACTGGCTGTTGCAGGCACTTAGGGAGTAAACCAGCAGATACGAGATCTCTCTCTCTCTCCCCCCACCATTGCCTCCCCGCTCTGTGTGTGTGTCACTCTGCTTTTACAAATAAATAAAGATGTGAAAGAAAAAAAGAAGACATGCCGGCGCTGTGGCTCACTTGGTTAATCCTCCGCCTGCAGTGCTAGCATCCCATATGGGCACCGGGTTCTAGTCCCAGTTGCTCCTCTTCCAGTACAGCTCTCTGCTGTGGCCCGGGAAGGCAGTAGAGAATAGCCCAAGGACTTGGGACCCTGCACCCGCATGGGAGACCAGGAGGAAGCACCTGGCTCCTGGCTTCGGATTGGCACAGCGTACCAGCCATAGCAGCCATTTGGGGAGTGAACTAACGGAAGGAAGAACTTTTTCTCTGTCCCTTTCTCTAACTCTGCCTGTCAAAAATAAAAATAAAATAAAATAAAACAAACAAAAATAAAAACAGAAAAAAGAAGACGTAAAAAGAGCCAAAGGGCTGGTGGATTAATGCATTCTTCATTGTGGGAGGATCCTGGCCTTGCAAGTGAAGGGTACAAGGCAAAGAACAGGGTCCTGGGGGGTGGAAGTAGCAAAGGGTAAAGCCAGCTTTGCAAATACTGAGCACGTAAACCTATGAAGAAGGCAAGTGATGACCCTCACAGGCACTCAGAAGCTGACAACGTGCTGGAAGGATGGAACTGAATTAGAGATGTGAGCTATGTGTCCAGCGCAGGATGACAGGGGGCGGGCACTGCGGCACAGCAGGTTAAGCACCTGCCTGGGACACCACCATCCCTTACTCCTGCACAAGTTCAAATCCTACATACTCCACTTCTGATCCGGCACCCTGCTAATGCACCTGGGAAGGCAGCAGCAGATGGCCACCTGCCACTCATGTGGGAGAACCAGATGGGGTCTGGGCTCCTGGCTTTGGCCTGGCCCAGCCCCAACCACTGCAGCCATCTGGGGAGTGAACCACTGGATGGAAGGTAGAAAGACAGATAGTTGATAGATAGATAGATAGATAGATAGATAGTTCGACCTCTGTCTCTCTCTCCCTTTCAAGTAGATAAACACTGTTTTAAAAAGTCTGTAGAAGAAAGAATAATGTGAAAAGATCCCCATACATCTTGCTGAACCACCTGAACAACCCCATCACTTAAAGGACTCCAAAGAGTTCATTTTGTTGCTTTTTTCTTTTTTAAATGATTTATTCAGTTATTTGGAAGGCAGAGTCACACACACACACACACACACAGAGAGAGAGAGAGAGAGAGAGAGAGAGTGTGTGTGTGTTATCTTTCATCCACTGGTTCACTCCCCCAAATGACCACAGTGGCTGGGGCTGGGCCAGGCCAAAGCCAGGAGCTTCACCTGGATCTCCTACTTGGGTGCAGGGGCCCACGCACTTGGGCCATCTTCTGCTGCTTTCCCAAGCACATTAGCAGGGAGTTGGATTGGAAGTGGAGCAGCCAGGACTTGAACTGGGGCCCATGTAGGACGCTGGATCTGCAGATGGCGGCTTAGGCTTACCCCTACTGCCCCAGAGCACCAACGGCTCTCATTTGATTGCCTTTTCTCTCTCTGGGCTTCTAGCTCTATGCAATAACATATCTGGGAAAACAAATCATAATGCTGAGTTTTACAAACATCCTTAGGGCTGGCAGAAGACCGGCAGAGACTACAACCTACTCCCCCTCTGTGGTACAAGAGCTAAGAGGCACCCCCAGCACTGGGCAAAGAACCCAGCAGGCAAAGTGCTCAGACATCGTTCATGTTTTCTGGAAGGTCTCCAGGAACTGAAGCAAGTTATTTTAGAGGTGAGGCTTTTCCAAACTATATTAGATAAAAAGCAGCAATTCTTTATTCTATCCATGAGCACTTTGGGGATGGTGTGGAGGAATGAGGGAAAAACTGAGACCTTGAGTTAGTTCAACTACAGGAAAGCTACAAAAACAAAACACAAGTCCCCCTGCAGTCACCCCGTTCAATCTACCACAGGCTCCCCCTGGCGTTCAGAAACGGGTATTGCAACACAAATCCAAACCCTGGCATCACGCTTCGTTTCATCATCTGTGTGATTTTGGGCACTTCCAGGCCCTTTCCGGTGGGAAACCCATGCATTTAACTCTCTTACTACGTGCTCTCCAAGCCATTCATAGTTCCAGCCTCCTGGGCCGGTCCTGTTCGCTGTGCATCCATCTGTTCCACTGACATTTCTGAACATTGCCTGCAGGGCACATTTGCAGCAATTCGGGTCAGAAGGGATCTGCATGCTGCACACCCTTTGCCTCCCCCTCCTTCCTCCACATGTGGGTGCCAAGGAGGCACCACACCGGGTGCTGCAGACACACGGTGCACAAGATCAAGGTCTAGGCCCCCACTGCACTCACATTCTGGTAGCACAGGCAGCTTTTAAAAGTGAAAACAGAAAGACGTCCAGACAGCTCTAAACACTACAGGTGCTGGAGACACCGGGTATCGGGGCCGTCTTCTCTGCGGAGACAGCTCAAGTGGAAAGCCAGCCAAGGCAGCATGGGAGGAAGGCGATGTCGGCAGGACAAAGAGCAAGGGAAACCGCGGGCACGTTCAAGTAGCCGCCGAGAGCCGAGCCGCTGGGCTCAGAGACTGGGAGGCAAGGCGGGGAGCTCGGATCCAGCTTCAGCTGCTGCGTGAAGGGCAGGCTACATGACGAGGCTCAGTGGCAGCTGCACAGCCAGAGATGTCAGAGGTGTACACTCAGCTGGGAGGGAGGGGACCTGCGAAGGGGCTGCACAGAGACTCATTTGGTGGCAGAGCTGCAAAGATGTGCTGGAGGGACAGGCTGAGAAGATGGAGGAAATGACGAAGAAGATGTGGGCTCGGGAGGAGGAACGGAGGGGAGGGGGGAGAGAGGAAGAATGGGGGGGGGGACGGAGGAGGGACTTCCCAGGTGAAGCACCGGGCAAGAGCAGAGGACACGGAGGGGATGTCGGGACGGCTTCAGGGACTACAAAGCGTCCTCCTGATGTCACAACGTGCCGCATCGGTCACCACTTCCAGGTGATGAGAAAGGACAAAAGTGCAAGGAGAGATAGCAAGTCACACTTGTAAGCATGCAGGACAGGATCTGCTGTGTCCAAGGGGCAGAGCTGTCTATCCACGCTGTGCTGCCTGCCCCAGGCTCCACCCCATGCCCGACTGCAGGGCTGGACGTGTCCCAGGGCTGGGCGTTAGAACCCTCCAGTCCACTTCAGGAGGGTGGGCCAGTCCTTGCCCGTTTCCCGCTCTGACCCTCGGAAGGCTGACCCTCACTGCTCAGAGGTCGCAGGGTGGTCCAGGGTTCAGACCACAGGCTCTATGCAGCAAACTCAACTGCTGGCCGCTGCGAGGGCTGACCCCGTGTGCCCACCGCTAATGATGAGCTACAAAATCTCATCCAGGACTTGGTAGCGTCCACCCAAACTGGGACTCAATGCACCTGCCTGCAGGTGGGTGTGGGTCAGACCAGTCACCAGCGAACAGAAACCCACGCCACCCGAGTACCTCAAGCCGTCGGCCACGTGCAGCGCGATCCTGTGCTGCAGGGTCCTGGTGAGGCTGGCTTTGTCTTGCTGCAGCAGCCGGTCCAAGGAGCCCTTGGGGGCCAGCTCCATCACGAGCATCCGCGGGCGGATCCCAGCCGCCAGCAGCGAGATCAGGCTGGGGTGGTGCAGGTGGCAGAGCACCACCAGCTCCTGCAAAAGCCCAAGAGCTGTGGGTCAGGCGCTGGCCGCGCGGCTCCCTCTGCAGGTGACCGCGGTTCGGAGGGGGCTGGGTGGCTGCTACTGGATGTTTTCCAGACTTTCAGTAATCAACAGCTACGTTCCAACTGCTGTCTGAACGAAACACCTACATGATGCTTTACTGTTGCCCTGCTCACCAGAACCCGTACTGAAGACAGGATGCACAGTGTCCTCGGGCCAACAGCTCATATGGGTCACTCTCGTCTCAGCCTGGAAATCCAAGCAGCCACAGCGACTCAACCACCACCGGCATCCAGGCAAGTGCCACCTGTGACCCCCGTCTACAGACAATGTCTGAGGGCAATGTCTGTCTGCCCCTGAGTCCCCATTACCCTTAGGTTCAAGTCGCACACGGCCTCGTGGCCTCCCCGATGCAGCCCCAACCTTCCTCCGAGGACCCCTCTTCCGTCTCCCTCCTCTTCCTTCTCAGGGCTCAGCCACACTGCCATCCACTGAGTCCTTCTGCCTAGAAATCCCTTTCCTCCACCGTGGCTGAAGGCTTCCAGCCGCTCAGCTCACACTACCCCTCCATCCAACTGACCTGCGTCGGCCAGTCTCGCTAACGCAATCCCAGCTGCAGTGACAGCTCTCTGTTCCAGGGAGTCAGAGGCCTCGTGTGGCCCCTCCATGCGCTGGGGGCGTGTGACCTCACGGCGCCCCTGCCACAGCTGTGCTGTGATTCCCCATGCACTGGGCTCTGCCTGCTGGCCTTCACTCTAGTAGTGGTGATGTGGCCCACCTGCTTCCTCCCAGACGCCCCAGAGAGGCTTCCTGACCATCTCCTCTGGGGCATGGCTGTCTTTGTCTCCATTGAATATTCTGCTTTATTCTGAAGCTGCAACTTAGTTGTAAAGTACAGCTTATGTGGAGTGAAACTGATTCATGTGTTAAACCGAGGTCAATGAAGCCCTGCCTCTTTTTTTTTTAATTTTTTGACAGGCAGAGTGGACAGTGAGAGAGAGAGACAGAGAGAAAGGTCTTCCTTTGCCCTTGGTTCACCCTCCAGTGGCCGCCGCGGCTGGTGTGCTGCGGCCGGCGCACTGCGCTGATCCAATGGCAGGAGCCAGGTGCTTCTCCTGGTCTCCCATGGGGTGCAGGGCCCAAACACTTGGGACATCCTCCACTGCACTCCCTGGCCACAGCAGAGAGCTGGCCTGGAAGAGGGGCAGCCGGGACAGAATCCGGTGCCCCAACCGGGACTAGAACCCGGTGTGCCAGCGCTGCAAGGCAGAGGATAAGCCTAGTGAGCCGCGGTGCCGGCTGAAGCCCTGCCTCTTAACACCCAGCTTCAAACACACCGCGCATGCAGGCCCACTGCAATCATCAGGACACCAAGTAGCAGAACTCTGCAAGCCGAAGAAGGCAGGCGGAGTACCCCAAGAGGGCTTCCCAGGAACAAAGCCTCACAGGGCAATCACATTTACTCAGCAGATAAAACAGCCTTCCCAGGTCTGATTAGCTCATTTGGGGAAAACTGGTGAGAACCACTGAGCGCTGTTTACTTTCAGAGGCACAGACAGAAACCTGAGCCACTTCTGTCTTCCTAAAGCAGCTCACTGATGGCAGAGAGGGAGGAGCAGGAAAGCCAGTGGATCCGCCCCACTCTGGGACTGCGCTCGAAACCACTCTGCAGGGGCAGGCGTTAGGCTGAGCGGCTGGGTGACACTGCACTTGGGGTCTCCACACCCCACATCGCAGTGCCTGCTTCCAGGCTCAGCTCCACTCCCAATTCTGTCTTCCTGCCAATGCACACCCCGGAAGGCAGCAGGAGATGGCTCCGTTGGGTCCTTGACACCAGGTGGGAATCTTGGATTAAGTTCCTGGCTCCCGACTTCAGCTTGAACCAGTCTCAGCTGTTTGAAGCATGGGGGGAGTGAACCAAACAGATGGAAAATCAATCATGCTCTCCCTCGCACTCTCTCTCTCCCTTTCAAATAAAAATAAATAAATAAATCTACAAAAGAATGGCCCTCCCAATGAAGTGCTGGGCAACAGAATGCTGTTTTTGGATGTGAGGCAGCTACACTGTGTGTCCCCCTCCCTTCTGTCCCGGTGCCTTTCCCTGGACTCACCGCACTGCCTGTGCACACGTCCAGAATCCCCACGTGTTACACAGTTTATAAAACTTGAATAAATATTGAAGACCAGAAACCAAGACCAAACAATCAATTTACATAACAAATCACCCAGGGACTCATCGATTGTGCCCACATGTGATTCACAGACTTGTTTTTCTGTAGAAAATGGTTAACTTATCCCCAGAACTATGTGACTTTTTTTTTTTTTGACAGGTAGAGTGGACAGTGAGAGAGAGAGAGACAGAGAGAAAGGTCTTCCTTTGCCCTTGGTTCACCCTCCAATGGCCGGTGCGCTGCGGCCGGTGCACTGAGCTGATCCAAAGCCAGGAGCCAGGTGCTTCTCCTGGTCTCCCATGGGGTGCAGGGCCCAAGCACCTGGGCCATCCTCCACTGCACTCCCGGGCCATAGCAGAGAGCTGGCCTGGAAGAGGGGCAACCGGGACAGAATCTGGCGCCCCGACCGGGACTAGAACCCGGTGTGCCGGCGCCGCAAGGTGGAGGATTAGCCTAGTGAGCCACGGCGCCGGCTCTGTGTTGTAACTTTTGCTACTGATAATTAAAAACGCCCCTGGAATGTTTTGCACAGAGATGAAATTTTTTTTCGTGATTCAGAATAACTGAAATATTTAACTATGTATTATTAATGCTCACTCATTATTTACACTCAGTTATAAACAATTATTTTTAATAAGTTATAAACAAAAGTAAGGATGAGTAGATTTAAAATTACAGTTGAGTTCTGGTATAGATGACAAAATCACCACTGGATATGGTGTCCCTCTCACCCTCTCTCCTTCATTCCTATTTATTTACAGAGACTTCAAAAATAGAAAGAGAGAGAGAGAAAGAGAGAGAGAGAGAGAAAATTTTCAAAAGTAACCCAATAAGAAAAGAGAAAGGGGACACAGCTGAGAGTGGTTGCTCCAGGAACCAAAAGCTTGCTCCAGTTAGGGTGTCAGCCCTCACCCACACAACTCAGGGACTTAAGGGCACCTGACTTCAATTCAAGCCTCAGAGACGAGGTGGGAATATTCTAACACCAACCCCATTGCCATGTGACTGGTTCAGCCACACAAGCCTAAGCCAATCAGCACACAGCACTACCCTGAACACCATGCCCATTGACAAAAAGGCAGGTCCCATTCAACTGAGGCCAACAATATTTCCATTTTTTAATGGGATCATAGGAGGGTTTTGAGTTCTTTAAAAATACAACAGTCTGTAAGAGGGACCCACTTTTCTTCTACATTTGTGATATTTCATTGTGAGGCCTGGAACAGTTTTCCACAATGACAAAAGACCTTCTGTGCTAACAAAACCAGTATGTGGAGGTGAGAGGAATTATACAGAGAATCCCTCAGCACCATGAAGTGAACACACCCTGTGACCATCAGGTGAGCCTCCCTGCACAAATTCCGGACCAAGAAGAGACACACCAGAGAGCATCTAGAGCCGTATGGAACTTTCCTCCAAGTGAGGAAAAATCAGTGCAGCCCACAGCAGTTAGGAAGTCATCGCGATGACAGCACCGTTAGGGGAGAGGCCCCGACCGAGCTGTCACCGAATCAGTGGGCCCGGGAGACGCCTGCCCACGTAAGCTAAGGAAAGAGCATTTGTGAGCAATGCACACCGGGAGAAAATCCTGGTTCACGCTCCTGTTCACAGAATACCCACTCCAGTTACCTTTAATAACGAGAATAGACCTTAATTCACATATAAAGAGCTACCAAGAAATACCCAATTTGGAAAACCAACAACATAAAAGAGAACAAGATCAACTGATAGGACAAGCAGCTCAGGAAAAAAAAACAGCAACGGGGGCCGGCGCTGAGGCGCAGCAGGTTAAAGCCCTGGCCTGAAGCCCCAGCTTCCCATGTGGGCACCAGTTCTAGTCCTGGCTGCTCCTCTTCCGATCCAGCTCTCTGCTGTGGCCTGGGAAAGCAGTAGAAGATGGCTCAAATCCTTGGGCCCCTGCACCCACGTGGGAGACCTGGAAGAAGCTCCTGGCTCCTGGCTTCAGGTTGGCACAGCTCCAGCTGTCATGGCCACCTGGGGAAGTGAACCAGCCCATGGAAGACCTCTCTCTCTCTCCACTCCCCCTCCCCAACTCTGCCTTTTTTTTTTTTTTGACAGGCAGAGTGGACAGTGAGAGAGAGAGACAGAGAGAAAGGTCTTCCTTTGCCGTTGGTTCACCCTCCAATGGCCGCCGCGGCCGGCGCGCTGCAGCCGGCACACCACGCTGATCCGATGGCAGGAGCCAGGAGCCAGGTGCTTTTCCTGGTCTCCCATGGGGTGCAGGGCCCAAGCACCTGGGCCATCCTCCACTGCACTCCCTGGCCACAGCAGAGAGCTGGCCTGGAAGAGGGGCAACTGGGACAGAATCCGGTACCCCAACCAGGACTAGAACCCGGGGTGCCGGCGCTGCTAGGCGGAGGATTAGCCTAGTGAGCCGTGGCGCTGGCCCCAACTCTGCCTTTTAAATAAATAAAATGAATCTTAAGAAAAAAAAAAAAACAGCAACAAGGCAATTAATAGAAAAGGCTAAAATTTAATGATACAAACAGAAATTCCTGGGGCAGGAAAGACTTGCTGGAAATTAAAAACTTGATTATCCTAAGAAAATTTGGGACAGACATTTGTCCTAGCAGTTCAGATCACAGTTAGAGTGCCCGCCTCTCCCATCAGGGTGCCTGGATTGCAGTCACAGCTCCTGTTCCTGAGCTCAGCTTCCTGCAAACCCAAACCTCTCCATCACTCAAGTGACTGCATTGTTGTCACTCACACGCACACCTGGGTGGGGTTTCTAGCCCCCAGCTCCAGCCCCAGTCCTCGTGGGCATTTAGAAAATGAATTAGCAGATAGGGGAGCGTCTCTATCTATCTCTCTCTCTCTCTCTCTCTCAAATTTTAAAAAGAGATATTGGATTTTAAGTGACTAGACACAGGCTCTTGACACAGCAACTTGATTGATGAGTTCAGCTTACTCCTGCGGGCCCGCTATGGATCCCAGCTCCTCGCCTGCTACTAGGAGCTGCTCACCTACACTCAGCAAGTAGCTATTAACTGTTAAGATAATAATGAATCATGGAAGACAATGCACAAAAGAGAATTTCTACCAAATAATGAGGCCTATAGGATAGAAAACCACCCACACAAAAACCCAAACATGTGAAATTTCAGAGTGCCCCAAACCAGATAAATCCAAAGGATGACATTCTCAGTTTTCAAAACAAAATTCAAAGGGACCCATATATGAACAAATATCTGACAGAAGGCGTCTCCTTAGCAACAGCAGATGACAAAGTCATTGCATTCTCCTCATGGCGTAAAAGGAAAAGTATTTCAAAGCTCCATTTCTAAAAAAAACTGTAGTGTGGGGCCAGCACTGTGGTGTGAAGGGTTAAATCGCCACCTGCAGTGCCAGCATCCCATATGGGCACAGGTTCACCCCATATGGGCACAGGTTCGCGTCCCTGTTGCTCCACTTGCAATCCAGCTCCCTGGTAATGAGCCCGGGAAAGCAACAGAGGATGGCCCATGTCCTTGGGCCTCTGCACTCATGTGGGAGATCTGGATAAAGCTCCTGGCTCCTGGCTTCTGCCTGGACCAGGCCAGGCTTTTGCAGTCATTTGGGGTGTGAAGCAGCGGATGGAAGCTCTACATTTCAAACAATTAAAATACATCATATATAGCGATGATATATATGTCATATATAGTGTGAAAGCACATCCAGCTGACTTGAAGGCACGATTAAGCTATTTTTCAAATGCAACGGCTAAGAACACCCACCTCCAAAGCACTCTTCAAAAAAATGACTGGAAGATACTCTCCAACAGAAAGGACAAGGACACTCCAACCAAGAGAAGGCCGTGGAAACCAGGAAACACTGGGCATCATCAAGCAGACCGGGACAAGGAACCAGAGTAATCACCACGCAAGCCCCCGGGAGACCCTGCTTCTCCTTCAGAGAGGAGGTCATGGGGTACAGGAGGGAGGTCTGGGGTACATAAGGGAGGTCTCAGGGTACAGGAGGGAAGTCTTGGGATGCAGGAGGGAGGTCACAGGTGCAGGAGGGAGGTCACGGGGTGCAGGAGGGAGGTCACAGGGTTCAGGAGGGAGGTCACGGGGTACAGGAGGGAGGTCACAGGGTTCAGGAGGGAGGTCATGGGGTGCAGGAGAGAGGTCACAAGTGCAGGAGGGAGGTCACAGGTGCAGGAGGTCACAGGTGCAGGAGGGAGGTCATGGGGTACAGGAGGGAGGTCACGGGGTGCAGGAGGGAGGGCAAGGGAGCAGAGGGAGATCATGGGGTACAGCATGGAGGTCATGGGTTCAGGAGGTCATGGGGTGCTGGAGAGAGGTCACAGGGTGCAGAAGGGAGGTTACGGGTGCAGCAGGAAGGTCACAGGTGCAGGAGGAAGGTCATGGGTGCAGGGGGGAGGCTCAGAAAGAAAGGAAGCTTCACCCCCACAACTGCATAACTTAGGGGTTCCTAAAGGCACTGTAGAAGGAGCTACTTTCTCTCAATATGTTGAAAAAGAGATAATCAGAAAACCCTAACAGTGACATTTAGAAATCACAACATAATTGAGGCTCAAATTAAAGTCCTGTTTTTTATCAATTGCTGTGCAACATATAATGGAGAATTCCATTTGAGTTGAATATTTGGAATAGTCCCAATCAAGCAGGAAAAAAACAGGTGACTGAAAGAGGTGACATTTCCTTAGCTAAAATGCTTTGTTTCTGTGCAAATAAAAAGTCAACTCCAACTGGCATTTACCGGTTTTGTTTTCAGAACCAAACTCTCAATCAAACATGAAGGATTTCATTGTGATTACAGAAGGAAAACAAATGTTAGATTCTTCAACTACAAGAGAACAGAACACATTACAGAACTTAAGGAAGCAGTGGGAAGGGAACAAGGAAGAAGACTGCTAACTTCCCCGTCGCGCCCAGCCAGGGGTCAGCACCTGCTCACCTGTCACTTTACTGAACAGCAAGTTCAACTATTTCAAGTCACAATATTAGTAAAGTAGGAAAACTGAAACCGCCCATGGTTTTGAACTTGGGGAGGTGGACATGGGGAAGAGGAGGAGTGTGGCATCTTCCCCATGCCTGGTGCAGGAAGACAGCAGGGTCTAAGAAGGCAAACTCGAGAGTTCTAACTTCTGGCCTGCATTCAAGGTAGCAATGTGCGGTCACACTGCCAGCGGCTCATCTCACCTGAACACTTAGAAGCCACACTCAGTACAACCACCGATGCCCACGTATGCGGAGCAGAAAAACACAATGCAAGTACTCTTCAGAAAACTGGGAGCTGAAGGCAGGAGCTTGCGTGGCCTCAGCTTGGCAAGAGGCACAGCTGCTGCAAGTCTGTCTGTCAGGGAGTAACACAAGCCCAACAGGCCCAGGACTGTGCCACCTGACACCATGGGGTGTGGCCTGGCAGCTGGGGTGCACAGCACGTGGGAGCAGCTGGACTGGGAAGGAGGAGCCCGGGGTCTCCCCAAACCTCTCACACCACACTGAAGGCTCACAGTGGCCCGGGGTTTTAATACTGTCTTGTCTTCATTTTCCAACAAAGAAACAAAACACCACAAACTAAAGTCCGGGCAAGGCAGGGCTTTGTAACACAACTCCGCCCACCTCTGGGGAAGTGCAGTCCTGGGTTCGCAGGCCCCCCCCCCACTGCCTGAGGAGGAACAGTCCCAGAGAATACCCCGCCTGAGCTGGGGGCAGGCTGCCCCGGGGGCACGCACCTGTCTCAGCAGCCGAAGAGACGTGTGCTTGTTGAAAATCTTCACCGCCACCTCTTCTCCTTCGTACACGGCCCGGTACACGGATCCAAAACTGCCGTCCCCTTTGCAGAAGACAAGACAGAGCTTTGAAGTCGGTGTCCAAGTCATATCCACCAAAAGAGCTCTGATCCCTTCTTCCCTCTGCTGACCACGTGAAGAGAAATCTGACCCACCTGCTTCAGCACATCCAGCCTCCTCCTCTGTCTACTCCATGAGCCGAAACCCTGACCTGAGGGTGCACCCCTGACCTTCCTGCATCCCCTCCGTCACCCCGCCACTCCACTGACTTCCGCTGTCCCTGCAGGTGGAGGACCCTCACAGCCTCACTCCCAGCCTGCAGTCCCCTCCTCCAGGCAGCCCACAGCCTCCTGCTCTGTCCTGGCCGCGTCGGTGGAATGCTGTCCTAAATCTCTACTGCATTCCCTCAACAGACACATCCATCACTTTTCCTCCAGACCAGCTTTTACCCCAGCTTCTGCACGTACCTGAGGAAACAAACTGAGGTTATTGTAACTCCCTGCACCCACGCCCAGGCCCACAGCTAACCAGTGTCCACTCTGAGGCCCCAGGGAGGACCACTCCTTCCTTTCCATGGCCACGGCCCCTTCATCCATTTAGTGCCCTTGGTGCACCTGCCGAGATGCAGAACCCCCCGGGTCCACTGCGTCCAACTCATTTTCTCTGGTTCTAGTACATGGGGCCACCTTCCTGCTCTGGTTTTTGCTTTTTGAAACCCAAATTCAGCCCCATACTCATACCGTGGCTCTGAATCCCTGTCCTACTTCTCTTTTCATTGTCTTTCTCATTCCGGAGGCTCAAGTCCACGAGTTTTCCTCCCAGGCCTGGCTAAGCAACATATCTGAGTAGCTTTCTAAAAATACGGAGATCTGGTGGGCACTTGGCCCAGTAGCTAAGATGCTGGTGAGGATGTTCAGACCCCCTATCACGGTGCTTGGGTTCAAGTACCAGCTCTAGCTCCTGACACCCCCTTTCTGCAATGGGCACCTTGGGGTGCAGCACCTGTTGACTCACGTGATTGGGTTTCTGCTGCTCCCATGGGAGTCCCAGACTGGATTCCTAGCTCCTTGCTCCAGCCTGGCCAACCCCCAGCCACTGTGGCATTTGGGAAGTGAACCAGTGGATGCAGGATACTTTCTCTTTCTTTGTATCTATCTATCAAAAAAAAATACTTTTAGCATGTTTCTAATCTAATAGAAATGCAAGATACACTCTCTCAAAAAAAAAAAAAAAAAAGCAAATCAATAAACAAAAAACAGGCCAGCACTGTGACACAGCAGGCTACGCTGCAATGCTGGCATCCCAGGTCAGAGCACTGGTTCGAGCTTGGGCTGCTCTCCGGATCCAGCTCCTTGCTAATCTGTGACAGAAACAGAAAATAGTCCAAGTACTTGAGCCCCTGGCGCCCATGCAGGAAACCCAGTTGAAGTTCTGGGCTCATGGCTTTGGTGTGACCAGGCCCTGGCATTGCAGCCATTTGGGTAATAAACCAGCAGATGAAAGATATCTCCCCTGTGTGTGTGTGTGTGTGTGTATGTGTGTTTCAGTTTTCACCCCCTTAAAATAAATAAATAAATATTTTAAAACCCTATGAATATAAATGTCTAGGCTCAAAGAATCTGATCTAAGTAGCTGCAGGAGGTGCCGGTCATTGGGGTTTTCTTCCTCCTTAGTGACAGTGAAGAGGGTGGAGAACTGCTCTAGATAAACCAACAGTCAGAACTTCCAGAACATGGTGGACTTCCAGGGCCGCATGCCCCCGCTGTGCGGTACACGGAAGTGCTCAGCCGTGCTGCCATCTCACTGCCTGCGTGTGCACCAACTCTGCAAGGACCCACACGTGCTGAGAAACCAGGGCTCAAGACAGTGGCTGGGGGCAGCCCTATGACATGCGGTCCATTCAGTACGTACAAAACCAAAGGTTCATGTGTAGAGCCCGATGTCACTTGAGGGACCTGGGTGAGTGAACTCAAAGAACCTACACGGAACTGTAACAAGGCTGTAACGCGCTACTTCTAAACAGCAGAACTGCACATCTGTGCGAAGCATCTGCCTGTGTACTGTTTCAGTCTCCATGAGGAGCTTACACAACCATACATTAATTTTTTCTTCCGAGCAACGTCTCAATAAAAGTTACAAAGTCCTCCTCTGAGTATGTCTTAGATTTCTACTGGATTATAACACGTTAGAAGTATTATCTGTGTCTTACCAGTCTTGGAGACCCCTATCCTATCACTGTAGTACTTAGTAACTACTTGACTTACAAAACCATTCATGAATACTGTTCACAGTGAGAGACTTGCAGGGAGCACGAAGGTTAAGTACTGGAATCAGAAACAGGGCTGGCTAACCAGGAGAAAGGACGTCAGCAGACAGGGAAGGGAGGAGATGGGTAGAGGAGGTGGAATCTCAAATAAGGAAGTCCCATCTGGACGGCTCCGACACCCAAGGCGATGTTCACGGGAAACAGATCGGCATTTCAGGTGGGAGCGGTTTCTCCTTTTGTAAAGACCTTCCCTGAGAGTCTGCGCACATCAACGTGGAGTCTTTCCAGTGACTGCCCACACAAACAAGGTGAAGGACTGCTGCTTCATGTGACAGTCTGGCGGGAAAGAAAGCCCCATGAAACCGCACCACTGCGGTGCCACGTGGTGGCTCTCCTAAAAACCAGCTCCAGAGAAGCAGTGTGCCTGGGAACCCCTTAGGCACTTACACCGGGCCTCACAGATCTATCGCTCAAAGAACGCCTGTGAAAGAGACCTTTTCACTAAGATGTGCCAGCCCAGCCCTGCATTTGGGAAGGAGAAGGTTAATCCACCTCCACTACTGTCTTCACCTCCACAACTGCAGAGCCACAGGTTCACTGAAGATTCTCAAGCTGAGGGAAGAACAATCGAAAAGCAGTCTTTCTGGCTTGATATGTGATGTCTCAAATTTTAGACATATTTTTGCTGATAACATTATGGACAAATTTCAGGCATTCTCGCCCTGGTGATTTAACTGATGTTAAATGTATACATACAACAACAAACTCTATGCAAAGTCAACTGTCTTCAAATATTCTATACTAAGTAAATTAAATACTTTCCATTCCCAACGACTTCCAGGAATGTTTGGAATGTGAATATGTAACCCTACAGTTAACAACAATATTCTGTATACTTGAAAATGTGCAAAGTGTAGGTTTTAAATACTCTAACCTCTAAAAAAAATTATCAATGAGGTAATATGTTAAATAGCTTGATTTAGTCATTCTGCATATACATATGTCAAAACATCATGATGTACATCATAAATCTGTACAAGTTTTACTTGTCATTTAAGAAAACAAACTTTAAAAAAATAGTTTTTTTTTTTTTAACAGCTAACCAAAGAGCTGAGTAGTTCAGGTCTTCATACACAGCACGAGGTTATGAGGACATTATCGTTTATTCTGAGGGTCAGTGACATGTAATGACAAATTATATGCTCACCATTTCTTTCCAAAAGTACTGTGGAAAAGCATTAAATGTTTGGACTGTGTGCTAAAACATCTCTTAGATCTCAAAGCCCACATCCAAGTACAGGATAGGCCCAGGACGAAAGACAGAAATGCAAATATTGGAGCATGGTGACCATGATTTCAGTATCTTTCTGTGAACACCTGAAGACACTACATGAGTTATGTCCTTCGTACACTGCTGGATAGCAATGGCTGAACTCACGTTACCAGCCAACAAACAGTAACTGTTTGGGAAGCACAGAAAAAAACGAGAGTGTGAGTGTGTCACCAGTTTAACGCTCCGGATTTTTTAATGCCAGATTTTTTATAAATACTTCTTGAGAACTCCGCATTGTCAGGGGCTGCCTACGGCTCCATAGACAGTTCCTCTTTCACTTCTTCCGTTCTGTGGAGACCGAGAAATGGCTGCTTCGCTTTACTCAACAGAAAACCTCCAGCTCTCCCCGCATCCCAGTAACGAAAGCAAAGGCCAAGACCCGGTTCATACGTCTGTGCTTCCACAGCAAACCCAGCCTCAGACAGATCCTACTCTACGGGAGCAGGTGCGAATTCCAGGTCTGCAACAAGAAGTCACTCTACAACAGAGCACCCCAAAAGAAAAATCAAATAATGAGTGTGTGAAGACACAGAACATTTAAGAATGCACCATGACTGAATATCCTCTAAATTACAAGGAGACCGTCTGTATTCTCAAACTAACAAAAGCAGTTACCTAAGAGAAACTCCGGAGCCTGCTGAAACTCCAGCTCATCGTTGTTCAGCATAATGTTTCTAGGCAGGTCAGCCAAAACCAGGTCCGGAGCAATCTGAGATATGGGGATGGTGAGTCTCGGTTGATCGGGATTTATCAGGAGGTCTCCTGAGAACGATGCATGAGATTTTTTAACGTCTCATTGAGGAATATACATCTACCTGCTTTTTTACTGTCAAAACATAATAACACAGTTCCTTCCATTTCTAATCACTCCCTTAGCTTATCTTACCAATCCTAGGTTTCTGGAGAAAATTAAAAGTCCACTTACTAGCTAACTGGTTAGAATTTGTACAACTCATTCCCAGGTTCATTCACTCGATATTAAGAACTTCTTTAACTACTTGGCATCTGACTAGGAAGTGATCTGCTTTCTACTTCTGCAATATTCACAAATCAGTCATCTTATGGCAGACAGGATCGTCAGCCTGTTCCCAACTTTAATCTCTGTGACGATTCTGCGAGACAGGGTGAGCTGGAGCTTCCAGTTCCCAGATGACAGTGTGTTACTGCATGAGCCAATGTCCAAGCCACACATCAACAATTTCTGATTTCAGAACACAGTATCTCACCAACTATAAATACCAGAAGGATCTATTTTTCTGAACTGCGGCACCATAACTGAACGTAGTGATTTTAAACTCACTCCACATGGACAGTGATTGTTACATTGGTTAAAGCAGGCCCTTCACAAACACTGAAGCATCATCGAAGACATGAGAACACTGTACCAAAGCGTACCTTCTTCTGCTTTCTTCATCAAGTCATCCAGTAAGATTTTTTGATGTTCTTCACCGTCATTAAAACTATACAATGCCCACTTCTTTAAAAGGGTTTCTCCTTCGCCGCAGATGTCAATCTCCAGCAGCCCAGGAAACCACTCCTCCATGAGAGAGTCAATGTGGTCCACGACTTGGCCCAGTAGAATGCAGCCTGCATAATCCAGAACAGAGTTCAGTTGTCCGTCTACGTCTTGCCTGCCCCAGAGCTGGGGAAGAACTGCGAAGACTTCAAGTTAGATCTCCTTAGAAGTGTGCACAATTCACAGTTTAAATCGGTTCCCCTACCTTTTCTACAAGAAGGAACTGTAATCTTTAAGAAACTCTCTGGGTGATGGTCTAAGACTTCAGATCCCACCAGGCAGTAAGCTTCAGGAGACCAGTTCAGGTAGATGCCCTGGCGCCAGTACATTCTGTTGGGGCGAAGCGCTCGTTCTGAAAGAGGGTCAGATGGATCCGGGAATCAGTGACCCCACGTAAATGGGGGGAGGCTGACAGTACTGCACACACAAGACACAGTATTCAAACCTATCTGTGTTCAGAGAAGGCTGTGGCTTGTTAGTGACACACATCTTCATGGTATCGACTAACTACCCAGCAGTATTCAATAGTTCACCCTTAATTTTGCAACAAAATTAATTACTTGTGCTATAGAAGACCAAAGATACATTTTCAGTTCATACTGATAAGCACTTTAATATGATTAACAAATAATGAAGTGTAAATAAGCACACTTTTTACAAGATTTATTTACTCTAAATGCTTAGCATCAGAGGGCGAGATAGAGAGAGAGAGAGATCAAGAGAGACAGTTTGCACATCAATCAACCCCTCAAATGCCTGTAACAGCGAAGTGTGGTCCAAGCCAAAGGCAGAAGGCAGGAACTCCATCTGGTTCTCCCACAGGGGCAGTAGGAACTCAAGTCCTTGGGCCACCAGCTATTGCCCTCCCCTGTGCAACAGCAGGGAGAGGGAATGGAAGCAGAGCAGCCAAGCCAGGACTCAAACTGGCACTCCAATACGGGATGCCTGTGTGACAAGTGGTAGATTAACCCACTACAACACAATGCCAGCCACCCTCATAATGTTTTGATGGTCACAGTAAAACTAAAACCTCCTGAGCAGTCTAACTACTTATATGTGGATTAATTACCAGCAAGATAAAGTTTATTTTGGAAAAAATATTTTTAAAAAATTGGTGTTTTCCCTTTGAGGCACTTAGACATCTCTTCAGTTTAAGAAAAACAGCTGACTTCATAAACATCCATTTTTGTTCTTTTTGTCAGTTGCTTGAGGATGGTACAACAGAACACAGACATTATGGGCCCTCCACGGCGCGGCCAGAACCTGTCACATCTGTTGACTAACCTCATTGATTATATAGTAATCATTGCATTTTTGTCTTTCATGAGTGTGTGTGTGTGTGTGTGTGTGTGTGTGAGAGAGAGAGAGAGAGAGAGAGAGACAATGAATTCTAACTAATCTCACCTTTTAAAATTATTGTTTACAATTTGCTGTGGGCATGGAAAACAAGATATTAATGCTTGCTGGGAACGTGTTAAAGCACTTGGGATGGGCCGGCTCGAGGGCCTGAGGGATGTTCTTCCTGACACATGGCCTGAGTCTGTGTGTGCTCATGCACCTTTGTACTGGCCAAGCTCAGTTCTCAGGAGCTTGTCTTCCAGAAAAGCAAACTCAAGGAAACTGGCATATAATGTTTAAAATGCTCTGCCCCTAACTTTTGTAAATACTGTCTTCAAACTTACCTCTTCCCGAAAGCATGTAAGGTGAGATCTCAAGTAACCGGTTAATTAATCTTGACCAAAACCCCATGGGGAAATAAGGCATTTCATAGAGCCGGATGATGATTTCCGAGTTCTCACAGTGTGGAAGCTCTATTACGGGCCGGTGGTCAGAGAGACTAAAGGGAAGAGGACATCGTCTTTAGGAAGCACCAACATCACCAGCCACGTTGACCAAAGCACTTACTACTCGAAACCAAGGAAGCCAACCACTGTAACTGGTGACACACTCTGCAAGATTCTCCACTCTTTGCTCTTCTTGTATCAAATGTTTGATGGGCATTTGATCAACTCAGTGCATACTCAGATATAATAGATGCAGGAAAGGTTTTCAGTAATCCTTTGTATCCAAATCATTTATTATAGTTAGCCATTTACAAAAATATCGATTTTATAAAACTTGAAAAAATGAGCTCAAAAAAAGTATCTTTTTTAGAATTGCTTGCCGTCCATCACTGTCATTTGCACCTTTCAACATCATAACACTTTATGGACTTCCCAGGTTGCTCAGAAAGCAATGAGGACAAATTTCTACAACACAGGACCAGAATTTAGGATTTCATTGTGATGGAATGAATCATTTAAAAACTCTGATCCACTTCCCTAATACAGAAATTCTCTCAGCACTGTGTGAATAGGGATACAGACACACACACACACACACACACACACACACACACCCCTCTAATACTGACCCTTCTTAAGTAACTTAAGCAATAGTAAACCAAAGAGTAATTATATAAATAAAATAAGCCATTTGCTATGAACCATCAAACACATTGTTTTAATTAAAAGCAAATGCTATATTTCAGTACAAAGTTTACACAAGAGGCTAAAAATTTCATACATCTATTATAAACTGATTTTATCTGACCATTAAAACAAGGCAGTAGGTCATTAATTTTCATGGCGTAATAGTTTTAATGGGTTATTTTACCTGCTTGGAACCAGTAAGTACTCTTCTCCTATTGGCAAGGCGATCTGGAATTTTTCCAGGAGTTTAACGTACTGTGTCATGTAATTCTTTGGAAATCTCCTTTTCTTCGACAGGAATTTTTCCACATCTCTACGTGAAATAATTCCCTTAGGATGTTTCGGATAGCCTTCCACTTTCACTGTCAAAATCTGAAGAATTCGAACTCATAAATATCAATCACTAGCACTCATTTTCTGAAATATTTCAAATTTAAAGTGACATGAAATGCTTTGTTAAATTGTCAGAGAAGGTCTTAGAATTTTTAAAAAATTAAACAAATAAATGGTTTTCCTTATCAACTAACCTGTGAGAGCAATCTGAGTTTCCTGTAAGGTCCAGAATGCGGCAGGAGTCCTGACTACCATTTCTATTAATTAATGGTCCACTGTTCCTGGTCTTCTGATAACAATACAAACTATTATGCATTCATTGACTACAATTCATGTCAAGTGCAAATGACCAGAACAATTTAAATGTTGTTAAGTACAACTGGGGACCTAATTTCTCTAGTAGCCTTGAATCCCAAGAGGGTACCCACCCTTCCCAATGTTTGTTAAATTAAGAGTCTGAGTTCAGATCACAAATATCCTCTGAACCTCAAGACTTCCCCGCTCTAATTCAATGATAAATCCAATACAGCACATCTGTACTGCAGCCTCATCAGTAACACAGTCCTGGAAAAGTGCTCTCTGCCAGTCACCCCTCCAGGTGTGCAGCAGAAAGATCACCCGATGGGTACAGAACAGGCGAGGTTTCTGTTCCTGGGCAGAGGCGGAGGAGAACAGTCAGTGAGTCTCAGAGTAACTACGCTTCTGCTGGATCTGCTCCCAGAGTCTGGGTCAGCAGGCTGGGCTGAGGCCCAAGAATCTGCTTTTGAAATAAGCAACCTGGGGGCTGGCGCTGTGGCGCAGTAGGTTAATCCTCCACCCAAGGCACCAGCATCCCATATGGGCACTGGTTCTAGTTCCATTTGCTCCTCTTCCAGTCCAGCTCTCTGCTGTGGCCTGGAAAAGCAGTAGAAGATGGCCCAAGTCCTTGGGCCCCTGCACCATGTGGGAGACCTGGAAGAAGCTCCTGGCTCCTGGTTTCAGATCGGTGCAGCTCTGGCTGTTGTGGCCATTTGGGGAGTGAACCAACGGATGGAAGACCTCTCTCTCTGTCTCTCCCTCTCACTGTCTGTGACTCTACCTCTCAAATAAATAAATAAAAAATCTTAAAAAAAAAGAAAGAAGCAAACTGGACAATTCTAACACGGAGACCACAATGTGAGCCTTGATCAAGTCTCACTTGGTCACTTGAGACGAACCCAGGTTCAAATCCAGGCTCTGAAGCAAGTGGGGTGACTTCAGAAAAGGGATTTAATTTCTTTAAGGCACAGCCTCCTTCTCTGTAAAAGGAGATGAAAACAATGACTGTCCCTTAGATTTCCACGAGAGTGGAAAGTGCTTGTGACACACACACAGTCAGCCCTTGCATTTTAGCTCTAGCTACCTACAGACTCTCTCTTCCTTAGCCGAATTCATTCCCAAAAGTAGCTTGGGCTTAATTCTCTCCAGGTCCAGCATGCTTGAGCAATATTTTAGTAGCAACAAACACTATTTTTGTTGCCATGTACTGCGCAATACACTGAACTGTAAAATCCTTAGGTCCAGGGACTGCTCTGACCATGTCTACGCTCCTGTTTTGTGTATATGGTATTTGCTGAATCAATGAACGAATGACTGTTTGAACATACTGGTATTTAAAGACAAGGTACAAAGGGCCATTAATAGATGAAAGCTAGTTCAGAATTCATCTCAACTGTGGACTTTACAGGAGACCCAGTTTGTCCAAACTTGTTAGGTGGAGAGCAAAACCGTTTCCTATTTTAGTAGGAATATCGTTGGATGAATGAACTCGGAAGTGACATCTGGGGTGTCTTACCTTAACTGACAGGCACTCAAGTCCAACTACTCAGCTTGAAATCCTAACTAATTCTTCTGAACAACATAGTGCTAGGTGAATTATTCACCCTTTCTGCCCATCAATTTCCACTTCTCCATGCTGTGTATGTGAGCCATTATTGTCTAGTTATTCTAATTTGTTTTAGTTAGATGAACTCATTTAAAAACCTCTGTGCTGAATTTTTTCTGCAGATCTGTATATTATGCTATCACTTTTTATAATGGTTTCCAAAGACCGATATCATCAGTGCTTCCCCTATACATGTGTCCTGCTCAATTCATGAAGAAGCAGAGTCCATTCTCTTCCCCCTTGAATCCAGGATGGCCTGATGGTTGCTCTGGTCACTGGACGGTAGCAGAACTGACATTTTGCCAGTTCTGGAGCTACACTTTAAGAGGACTGGTAACTTGCACTTTGTTCCTGTTGGCTGTCAGTCAGCATGTGAGGTATCTAATCACCCCGTGACCATCATGCCATGACGAAGCCCACCTGGGCTACCAGAGGGGCACCAATACACCCCAAATGTGCAGAGAGATTTCCAGAGACTTCCAGCCCAGCTCAGTGAACCATGACAAGTGAACAGCCTTTGCCCAGCACCACGTGGGAAGGAACCACTCTGCTGAGCCCACTCAACCCAGAGACGAGTGAGAGATTACAAACTATTGGTATCTTAAGTCTACAAGTTTGGGAATGCCTTATTACACAGCAATAAAACCTGAAATACTATCTTAATTACATTATCTTTAAAAGATATAACTTCTTACCCTAGTGACTTGCATGGCTGACTTGCACTCTCATTCAAGGAAATACCATTTCCCCAGTTCCTCTGTATTTCTTCCATGTATTATTTTTTTTTTAAAGATTAAATTGCCAAGAAAGCATTCTAATGCTCCACTTGATTAAATCAACAAGCCCTCTTGGAATCACCCTAAATGCCCATCACCAAAGACTGGATAAAGAAATTATGGGATATGTACACTATGGAATACTACACAGCACTAAAAAATGAAATCTGGTCATTTACAACAAAATGGATGAATATGGAAAACATCATAGTGAAATAAGCCAGTCCCCAAGGGACAAATACCTTATGCTCTCCCTGATCCTTGAGAACTAATAGAGCACCTAAAACGAAATCTGTAGAAGTGAAATTGACACTTTCTAAAGGGATGACTTGAGCTGCCCTTATCTTGATGTTGAGAGACAGTTTTGTCTTTTTTATTTTTTCTGTTTTTTTTTTCTTCATACTATTTGTTGAACTCTTTACTTAACATAGAGTTTATCATATGTGTATAAACTCAAATGAGGATGGATCTCAGTAAAAAATAAGAGTGGGAATAAAAGAGGAAGGAGGAAGTTTGTAACTGTAAAGCTGTAGAGTTCTGCAAACATTCCTATGGACTTCTAAGGGTACAGTTTAAAAGCTTGACATGAGACCCCAAATCCCATTAAACTGGGTGGTAAAAAATGCCACCTCAAGTGTTAAAGTGATCACATAAATAGGATCAAGTGTCTGGTAATAATAATGGATAGAAATAAAAAGGAGAGAATGTTCCAACATGGGAAGCAGTCCACACAGCAGAATCTCATAATTACAATTGCTTAAATAACACTCTGAACTCAGAATCAGCCCTTAAGGCTTCCTGATCTGGCTGAAAAGCCCCTGAGAGCATTTTAGGCATGGACAGCCAGAACTCCGCGGCAAAAAATCTTCTACATGAAGGATCTCTGTGAGTGAGATCCCAGAGGAAAGAAGTGGCCATCATAGCAGGATGTTCTCTAAAGGGAGGAGAGAACTACTTTGCCTGTGGCCTTGTCTAAATACTGACAGATTTTGTGGATTCAAAAGGATTCCATAGCCTAGGCAGCTCACATCAAGAACCTCAAGTGATCACTGATATCATACATAATAGTGTTAATTGTTAAATTAACAACATGAGTCACTGTGCACTAAATTGTTCTCAGTTATGTGTGTGTGTGTGTGTGAGCAAATTGTTAAAATATTTACTCAGTATAGAGTTGGTCTTCTGTGTACAAAGTTAACTGAAAATGAATCTTAGTGGAGAATGAGACGAGGAAGGGAAGGAGGAGGAAGGGTGGGAGGGTGAGTATGCTGGGAAGAGTAACCATATTCCTAAAGTTGTACTAATGAAATTTGTATTCCTTAAATAATTAACAAAAAAAAGAATAAATTGCCAAGCAAGCATGCCTTTTTTTTTTCTTTTTCATGTCTTTCTCACACAGCTAAGTAAGTTTCACAAACTCCTCCCTGAGTTGACAGCAATGCAGGGTACAGGAGGGTGGGTGGGCTCCTCTGAGCTCCTGCACCTCGGAGTTGTTCTCACCCCAGCCCTGGTGACTCATGGAGGGAAGACCCCTGTTTATTTCTGCTGATGGTGTCAGACAAGTGGCTCTTGTTCGCGCTTGACTATTTATAGTTTCCATTCCCTGTGAAGCTAAGTGAAAAATGGCATTGTATTTGAATTTATCAGCATAAATAAAAACGATGGGATTTATTTTTCAAGTGAATGAGAAATCTAAATTTACATTTTTCCTGACATTTCAAATCTGTGCAAGTAACTGAGCTATTCAACCTCTGGATTTCATTTCCACTTCAATTAGCAAGTTTGTATTCTAAGTATGCTAGTGAGAAGAAATTTCATGGAGTTTCAACTTAATTACTCCACAGAACCTGGGAAGATCACTGTGTGGGAACCAGCTTGTTTAAGAAAAGCCCGGTTTTCACTCACAGCTGCTTCTCACTCTACCCTAGCAGACATGCTCACCCAAAAATCATTTACATACATGTGACTTCAGATGTCCCAAAGCCTCACGAAACCTCTCTCTCCCGGGGGGAGTTCTGGTCTTTTCTTGGCTGCACACAGCTTGGCTGTTTTCTGACAGTTACAGTGTGCCACCCAGGAAGACAAATCTGCCAGGTCTGTTGAAAACTCCCTTTCCTGTATGGGATGCAGCTACTTGCATACATTTTTTATTTGAATCCATAACTGATGCACTTTCCAAAATGAAATGAGTGTTTTTCAGTTTTAAAAGTATTTCTCTTCACTTTCTAAAGTATTATACCTTACATTGCAAAATGGCTCAAAAACAAAATTAGAAACATTAACTCCTCACTTGCAGCGAACCAGAAAGGCAATCAAGAGGATAACATTGCTATCCCTATTTCAGAAACACACAAAGGCTTGAAACATCAAGAAACACCAAAAAGCCAGTAAGTCTTCAGAGGACATCTAGAAACAGGCCAAGCTCTGATCTACTGGCTCTGTATCATTTAGTAGATGAATCAAATCCCAACTGAATACCTAATGAGTGAGTCAAAACATCCCTCCGTGTTAACTAGACAGAGGCTCCACAGGCTCCCCCGCCCCATCTTCCTACGGGCGTTGGCCCCAAGGGTTTTCAGAGAGCCTTCACCCGACTCAATGAACAGCAAACCACAGACGTGTTCAGGGTCCAGGAGAACGGCCTGGGCTGGAGGTGCACAGGCGTCCACCACTGGCTTGAAAGCGAAGGCTTGTGGGTGGCAGACCCCTCCCGCGTCAGCCAGCTCCCCGTGAACCTCCTGCTGCCCGAAGGCTTCCACAATGTCCGATCTTGATACCCACTTCCAATTTAACCAAACGCATCCTAGGAGATGCTCCGTGCTCGGGGCGCCACACGCTTGCTCCTCAACCACAACCCCTCCCCCACACGCAGGAAACCCTAAGACACCAACCTGGGCCATGACTTTGCAGAGCCACTTGGGTTCCACAAAGTACAAGTCACTCAGCTGCAGCGCTGGGTCTTGAAAATGAAGAAGAACCCCTGGAGGGAAAAATGCAACAATGAGACACAGAGTGCAGAGGGTGCAAATGCAGGGAGCTTTAGACCAAGCCCAGGCCAGCGTCCTTATTTGCCACCCACACGGCTGGCAGAAGAGCTGGGTCTAAAACCCACGCCTCCTCATTCCCAAGCCCTAAAGTCCCAGTACGTAAAGATGGATTTTTGAATGATACAAAATGATATTTAAGCACATGTGAGACACCGGCATGCATAGCAGAATATATTTTACTAAAGGGGCAGAAATGCATCATTCCCTTTCTAGCTCTCTACACCTACACACCTAAGACACATTTAGTTGCAAATACAGATAAGCAACACTGCATATCTACTTTAGAACCATGAGAAAAGGGGGGAGATTCTAACCCACATCAAGCTATTTTTCACTCAACAGAGTGTAGGATTCAGAGTGCTTCTTAGACGTCCACTCTAGTAAGGACAAACAGGCTCTCACATTTACAGAAAGCGATCAGACAACCATCAGCAGTGACGTCAGCTGCAAAGTTTTCATCTGCGCCATCACGGGGTGCCCATTCTCAGCTCGGCAGCTGCACCCTGAAGGTACTCAGCCACCACAGCCGTGATTCTGTCCAGGGTATAAAAATAGCTGACATACAGACCAAGCTCCCCAGATGCTATGAGATGCCAATGCCAAGCTCTGGAATCCACAGTCCTAACTCCTGCTCAGGGGCCATTTTCATCCCCTTGTCCTCAAATGATTTCTAATTTTATGTTCTTATGACATGATGATCTTCCAACGGGGGGGAAAAATCAGTGTCCTGTTAAAGAATTTCATAGTCTCTTGACTTTTTATATGTAGTTCTATACAAGACCGAGACATACTTGTATAATTTAGTAGGGCAAGTTGTGAACACAAAAATAGGAAGCTGACGCACAAACCTGATTCGTTTAGGAAATGAATGGCGTGAGGAAGCTCATTCTCATCCAGCTGCAGCTGATTGTCTCTCACCAGTTGTAATAATCGTTTCCGGTCAATTACGGGAAATTCAGTTGGCACATTTTTACGTTCGGACAAAATGATTTTCTCAAGTTCTACATAGCAGTCTGGAATCAGCTGCCCGACAACAGGCTGATCTCGGATCTATTAGATTACAAATGACAAGCTGTAAAAACCTATTTTAATTATGTATCTGTCACCTGTGCTAGCATTCTTCACAGAGATGGGCACGTCATCCAGAAGCATATTTTTGGATCAAAGTGTGATGTGAACCTGTTCAAACTGCAGGGTGAGAAACAAAGATGAAATTTAAATATGAAACTTACGGACACAGAAAACAATTTGAAAAAAAAAAAAATCGTGAGATATAACAACATAGAAATAGTGAACTAGCCATCCAGAAATTTCATGGCAGAAACTAGGATAAACCATTCATAATAAAGAGTTTTTATTTTCTAAGTCATTAGTGTGCAACAGACATGGTAGCCTAAGAAATCAGAAAGTACTGCAAGAGCTTTTAGATAACAGTGCCCTCACCTGAAGGCAAAAGATTACATTCTGTGGTTGCCACCTGCAGAATGTAACAATGGTGGAATTACACCAGCACCAGAAGATGGCAGACAAGGAGACTTGTCAGCCACACTGTGCTTTCTCACAGAGCCCGAGCTTGGGAAAACGTCCAATCACCTACACCCCGATGCTGATGTGAGGGGATGAAGCCTGGACCCACTCCCTCTGAGAAATACATAAAGCAAGATTTGTAAAAGAACAGCCTTGAGATGCTCATTTCTAAGCTATATTTTCCAATCATTTTTCTTGAAAATGTATTTTTAAACAGAAATGTAGTTTCAGGAGTAGTAAACCAAAATGCCTTCAGGAGCCACCAGATGGCACACTCTCCCCATTTCTGAATCCATGAAAACAACACGTTCTTTTTCTCTTCCCACATTGATGAGAATGTCTATCTAAATTCTCAAACTTATTCCAAGAACAAACAAAGGTATTTTATTCAGCCGAAACACAGATGTAACTTGCTCTTTTTCTACTTGTAACTAGAACCTAAGGAGGCTGGTTTCAACAGTCATACCACTGTGTTCATATTTAGCTGCAAAGCGTCATTTCAAAGACTGCTTTCACGTTTTCCTCGCCACAGAAAATTACCTACAATTCTGACCTCCACTTTTGACATGCCTTCTCTGCATTATCTGTGAACTGAGGTGAAATGTAACTTCAAACTGAAGTTTATGTTTTAACTCAAGGAAGAAAACTTGTACACTAACTCAACAAGGGCTCCCGCGGAATGGAAACCAAGCAGTGCATCAGGGAAGAACCGTGCAGGGAGGTCACAGGGTGCAAAGCAGGCCGGTGCCGCTGACGCCTGGGCTGGGCTCCGAGCGCAGGGTCGGCGCTGAGCTCTGCTCTGTCCCGTTTCTCTCCTCCGCTTGGTTATCAGGTCTCCGACAGTCTGAGCCGACACAAAACAATGAACGCCCATCTGCGCTCTAAGGAGTGTGTGGACGTGTGTTTGCAGAGGTGGGCAGCACACGGGAAGAACAGAGAAGAGCTAGAGACAAGGAGAAGCTGCCATCTGAGCAGAGCTCCGAGGGCCCGGGGCATCTGAAAGCATCCCTGCTCTACAAAGTAGCCAAATGAGTTTCCGAGCAATGCGCCCCAACGGCGCACGGATCAGCAATGTGCACCTCCCTTTAAACCACACTGCCATTCCTCAAAGCTGCCTGCTACTTCTTTACAAGGAATCATTCATCCATGAGTGCTGGGAGAAATGTCTTACCGTGGACAGTGACACCTCGCTTTCAGAAAACAGTGGGATTAACCCAGCTCATCTACAGACGCGGCTTCAACTAAATCCAGGCGTTTCCAAAACACAGTCATCCCTCGATGGGTCTTTTAAAAAATATGACTTCAGTTCTGACAGCAAATGACAAAAAGCTATAAAACCATCCTAAGCAATAACCCAGTTAAGTATAGCTATAGTCTCCAAAGAAAACCACCCAATAAAGAGATTACTCAGATGAAAACATTTTACACACTTGTTGGTTTGAAGTCCTGACACTCTGTCATCTTGGGTTTTACCAGAAAGTGAGAAAAATCCACAAATGACAAGTAATTCTTATGGAATACGACATGATTCACCCTCGGTAAATCTTCCAGCAAGTGTTGCAGGTGAGTGCTAAAAGGTGACACACTCATCCTCTCTGTGCGCCTCAGAGACCAGGGTGTCCATCCACAGCTAATGACCTCGGGGACGGGCGAGTACTTGGCAGCAGTGAGCTAACCAGCCAAGAGTGAGGCTAACAAGAGCACATCACCCCCCATTCAAACCCGAAGGCTCTTCAGAGCAGAGTGCGACTCTAACAATACGTATGTCCGTCTAGGCCTGCCAGGACTAGTTAAAAGCCATGACTATGACCACCAGTGCTAACAAGCCTGGCCCACAGGACTGAATGAGCTTCACTGTGCTGTGCGCAGGCTGACTCCCCAGCAAGCTGTCCAGTGCAGGGCACAGCAGGCTCCCTGGAGAGCCCAGGGCAGACTTCCTCTTCCCGCGCAGCTTCAAGACAGCGTTCTCCCTAGCGACCAGTTTATCTGCCTTTTATGACAGCTGGCTTAAAATTTCAAACCTAAGTCCTACAACAAAAAAGCCCGATTTGTAGAAGGTAATCACGGCAGACACTGCCGAAAGCCAAGAGAATGATGTTGACGGCCCGGCAAGTGCACTGTCCCCCAGCACTGGGAAAGTCGCAGGTTCAATCCCAGTGACGGGAGACATGAGGGAGCAGCACAGGCCAGGATGGGCACAAAGCGGAAAGCGCAGATGCAGAGCCAACAGTCAGAGAGCCCCAAACAGCCGAGCCCAAGGCCCAGTGCCCACTTCCGCCTTCTGGCTGGAGCCCCGCACTGGCCACGGGGGGAGAAATGACAGCAGCCGCATTTTCTCAGTGGCTCTGAGTTTCTCTCAAGATCCCCAAGCGCCTGTTAGTCCTGTCTAGATTATGCATGAGTTATGGCAAGCTCACTCACAGTAACGCTCACAGCTCTGGAGACGCCCACAGGGGCCAAACAGTTGCTCTGTCTGCCATCTGTAAGCAGGTGCACAGAGCAAAACGAACCTGCGCTGTCGGCGCAGCAGACAGGAGGCGGCCTCCACTCACCTTGAAATTCAGGCTCTCGTTGATGATGGTCTTCCGGAGCTTGGCCAAGGCATCGGACTCCTCGGTGGCGTTGACGAAGTGGTAGTCCCGGATGGCGGGGAAGCCACGCTTGTTCAGGAGCTCCCGTGTGATCTTGCCGATGCAGGCCTTGCGCTGCTTCTCGTCAGAAACGTCCAGGTGCGTGCCCACGAGGATCACGGGGGAGGATGACGCCCGTGCCTGGGGACGGACGCGAAGCTTTGACATCGGGAACACTTATGCCCACATCCGCTTTCCGTGAAATCCACACACACAGGAATGAAAAACACAGCGACGGCCCTTCCTGTCCTGGCTTGGGCTGACCCTGGCTGGAAGTTAAAGCCCCAGTGCAACAGTGGCGGGAGGCGGGATTCAGGGCCGGCATGAAGGGACCAAGGCCAGCAGCACAGGAGGGGCTCCAGAGCTGGGGGTGGGTTCCTGACCCAGACGGTTCAGCCCTCTCCCCTGCCTTTCCCCCTCTCAACTGCATTCTCTCGGCCTCTCTCTGACAGAGCGGCATAAGCCGGCCCTTCAACCTGCAATTCCCCAGCCTCCAAAACACTAGGAACCCAATCTCAGGCCTCTGTGAACCGCCCAGACTCGGGTATCCTGCAGAAGCAGCACAGATACCTCCTCGCTCTCAATCAATGAAACCACGAAACTTTCCAAACTCATACCCAGCTGCTGCAACTGCGATTCTCACAGTGGCCTGAGGGCAGCAGTCGAGCAGTTTCTCTTGGCTTTCTACCGTCACACCTTAAACGCAATGTGTGTGTGCGCCTCCCAATAAAACATGCATTTAATAAAGCTAAACTACATCCACATTACATAATGTGCTTTATATTTTCTCCTCCTTATTTCTGAATTCAATTTCCAGAATTCACTCTAAAACTCATTCAATTTGGAGTCTAAATGAAAGGGATAAAGCCACTAACACAGCTTTATTGTCACTGCAATACCTACTCACACTGGACACTAAGAACAAAGACAAGAAACGGGGAATTTAGAAGCAGGCATTAGGCACAGCAGTTAGGATGCCATTTGGGATGCCCACATCCCATCATCCCAGCACCGGAGTTCCAGTTCCATCTCCACTCCCGATCCAGCTTCCTGCCAATACACACTCTGGGAGGAAGCAGTGTGGCTCACACACTTGAGTCCTGCCACCCCCACGGAATACCTAGAATGAGTTCCTGGATCCCAGGTTTGGCACGGCCCAGGCATGGCTTCCTGGGCTTTTGAAGGGAAACCAGCTGACGGGAGGCCTCTTTGTCTCTCCCTCCCTTCCCCCTTCTTTCCCTCTCTTCCTCTTAAAACAAAACAATTAGACAACAAAAGGTTTTTAAAACTCTCCCAAATTACCAAACAGGCCTGTATGCTGTCACGTGAGATAACAAACGTGACACAAAGCTTCCTAAGGACCCTACTTGCAGCATCATTATTGTGTGCACTGGCTGTCACTTCAGCCTCAGTTCTAAGCAGCAGATGATGGAAGGAGAAGGTGACAGCATGGCACCGGGGCAAACAGCAGGGAAATGATAGGGGACCAGCTGTGTGTGCACAGCCGTCTGGGCCTGTGCAAAGTGTGGAGTCTGAGGGACCCCATACAAGCTGCCATGGAGGACACAACTGGTGATGCACAGACCACTTTTCTTTAGTGTGGTTTATCTTAAATTAGGCAAGAGATATCCAATGTATGATCACAGATAATCCAACAAATGTATCTTCAAGTTGTATAGGCTAAAAGGGTTTCAGGAATCAGTAACATTCTCCAATATGGAATGCACTAATTTTTAAATTTTTTTTTACTGATTTATTTATGAGGGAGAGACAGAGAGATGAGACAGAGACAGAGAAAGAGAGAGAACTCATCTGTTGGCTCACTTACCAGATACATGCAGTATCTGTAGTGGCCAGGCCAAAGCCAGGAGCTGAGATCTCAATCAAAATCTCCCGCATGGGCAGCAGGGACCCAAGTACTGGTGTCGTCACTGTTGCTGCCCAGGCTGCGCACCAGCAAGATGCTGGAGTGAGGAGGTGGAGGAGTAAGCCCAGGCACTGCCGTGTGGTCCCTGGCATGGGGGCATCCTGACTGCCCAATACCTGCCCAGAAGTACTCCACTTTCATGTCGTGACTTAAGGATTCTGGAATTTTCTCAATTCGACATTTTGGTGCTTTCTTTTGAAACCTGTATGCAGAGACTGTTGGAAGCAACTCTTGGTCCAGAATCAGTCCCCGTGCACACATGCACACACACACACACACACGCACACACACACACACACACACTTTCCATTCTCAGGTCATCAGGTCACCTTTATGTTGAAGAGCCAGGGCTTCATGGCATCAACTTCAGCCTGTCCCTTGCTGAGATCATACACGGCCAGGTACAGAGCACGCTGGGTCATGAAATGGGGGTGTGTGCTGTAGAACTCCTCGCGCCCTAAACAGAGACGAGAGAGGTCTTCTAACCAACCAGGTAGCAGGCCAGAATCCTCTTTGGAAAAGGAATGTGGGGGCCAGAGCCACAGCTCACTAGGCTAATCCTCCACCTACGGCGTAGGCACCCCGGGATCTAGTCCTGGTTGGGGTGCCAGGTTCTATCCCAGTTGCTCCTCTTCCAGGCCAGCTCTCTGCTGTGGCCCGGGAGTGCAGTGGAGGATGGCCCAAGTGCTTGGGTCCTGCACCCCATGGGAGACCAGGAGAAGTACCTGGCTCCTGGCTTCGGATCAGCGCAGTGTGCCAGCCGTAGTGGCCATTTGGGGGAATGAACCAATGGAAGGAAGACCTTTCGACCTTTCTCTCTGTCTCTCTCTCTCACTGTCTAACTCTGCCTGTCAAAAAAAAAAAAAAAAAAAGAAAGAAAGAAAGAAAGAAAGAAAGAAAGAAAGAAAGAAAGAAAGAAAGAAAGAAAGAAATGTGGGGATGTAATGCTATTCATTATTAGGCATACTCAAAGGAGGAAGGTAGCCAGGAGGCAAGTATACGGGGCTGCCCTGGGTTTTCCCAGATGGTGACAACTTCAGCAGGTGAGTCAGCCACCAACCAAGGACGCAGCTTTGTCTGGAGCCCACCGATCTGAAATTTCCCTCCGAGTTCTTCTGCACTGCGGTGACAAGAGCCCGGGTGTGACTCCAGAGGACCCACCAACTCCTTGCTGTCTCGGAACAGAAAACTCAGATCCCCGTTCTCAGTAAAAGCTAACAGCGAATCATGAAGAACTCTAGAGAAACACACCTGCGAAGTCCCACACGTTCAGCACGAGGTCTCTCTTCCCTTTGCTTCTGATCTGCACGGGCCAGTCCCTCACGTCGATGCCGACCGTGGCGCCCTGCATGCCGACGTCGGCCTTCTTGGCTCTCATTAACTGCTGCAGCAAGGTGGTCTTGCCACTCCCGGTATTGCCCACGATCATGAGTTTCATTCGGTTGTACGGCACGGCCTTTCTGAGCCGCTGCTGAAGAAACCTGGCTTGTGAAAGGTTGAAATGCAGTAACAGACTGCTCAGAAGGATGAGCTGAGGTCTAGGTGAGGTTCTGCACGCTGGAGGTTAGTATCAGACTTTCTAAGAGACTGCAGAAGAGCGCAGAGTCTATAACCGGTTCTGCGCATGTCTCTGAACACACTGCCAGTGCGCATATTTTGTTAGTGATTTTAGCAGTTGATGACACTGGGCGGCATTACCAAATACAATATCATGTTACCCTATCCCTAGAAATAATCTAAATGCTAAAACACATCTTTGATGTTCATAAAATATGATATGCCTATCTATATACACATATACATAGACACAAGTGTGTCTATGTGTATTATAAACATGGATTTTTAAACAGCATAAATTAAACCCTGAAAATTATATAATACAAAACCTATATGACACAGAATAAAGGTAGAGCACACATACTGTTATACTAATACTTAGTAATTCTTAACAAAAGAGTTAATATTGGTTATATATGTGAGCATACAATGCTATATACATATATTCATATATACATCATGTATGTATATGGTCAGGATATATATAGTGAGATTTTCTTGGTTACATCATAAACAAACACATATATGATATTACACTCTCAGCAAATATTAATATGTTACTGTTTCTAACTTTAGTACAAAATAAACATATTAGAAGTGCTATAGGAAGCTAAACAAAACCACCTTTAATTAATAGGTTTTAGAAGTTATCAATAATATAATGAATATAGAAAGATATATTTTAAACTATGCTAAAAGGCTATCATACTTTAAAATTAGAGAAGCAAGCTAAATCCTAAGTGTATTTTAGGCAATACTGATCGATTCATTCTTATAGGAATCCTACAACATGACCAACAGGCCACATCACTCTCTGATTTATTTAATGAACAATAATTCACTATGCTTTGAAAAGAGTCAGTCTTAGAAAAATTAAGTGATGCCACAATTTTTAAACTGCTGTAGGTACTCTGTCTTTTCTAAAAATGTTAAGCACACACACAAATGTTTCATTATGTAGTGGCAACAATCCAGTGAAGGTAGTTCTATTCAATGCTTAGTAAGAATGTAACCAATTTTTATATGAACGTCTTCACCAATTTCAGGAGGGAAACTCATAGGAAATAATTATGTGGGTAGAGGGACAGTTGCATTCAATACAGGAGACAAACTCTTTTCCTTTCAAATTAAGTTAAGCTCAGGCACTCAGAAAACCAAATCCATTCTCGTAAACAGAGAAGAATGGAAATGGAAGAGCACTTCAGGAGAAGAGCCTGAGTTACGTGTCAGTCACTGCTGACACGACAGCTCCACGCGTGTGCCAGGCTCTGTGGGATGAACAGGTGTGAGCATGGCCGAGAACCTGCCTCGGGGATGCTATCGTCCGTCAAGGACATCAAGGATTTCCTTGGCAGGGAACGGAAGACTACCGTGCCGAGTGGGACCCTAGAGGGGGACACGACCCATCAACGAAAGCATCAATGTTCTTAACGTACAGACCACAAGAAACACTGGCACCTGGGAGATGCGCAGGTTGCAAACATGACCAAGCGAGGAGGTCACTCGTGCCGACGGGCAAAATCAAAGCCCGTCATGTCACACCCGTAAGTGACGGCTACGCTTTGAAATACGGCAGACATGGGCTAGCTAACCGCGACAGGAAATGCGCTGACAAGCTCTACACGCTGCTCTGCTTCTTCAGACTGTAGTTGGAAACAAGAAACCAGAAAGGCAGTAGCAGTTATCTCCTTTCCAGACATTTACATGGAGAAGAATGGTAAAGAGAAGCCACTTCTCTCAAGGTGAGCTTGATAAGAACTGGAAGCTTCGGCCACAGCACCACACAAATCCATGCAGTAAATGAAGGTAATGGGGGCTTATAACACGACTCACTTGTTCCCTACATTGGAACCACAACAAGTGACGGAAAGAACAAATCTGAAACACATGTAGCAAGAACAAATGGAAATTAAATGATCTAACCTTATGATGTCTTTGGCTTTGCATCCTACGTGTTTAAAATCAAAGTTAAGACGCAGTTCATCCAGAGGCAGATCCCAGATTTTGCTTAGTTTCCCCATTTCGTTGGGAAAGGACCTCAGTTCGGAGTTGTAACTCACATCAAGAGATGTCAGATTCTCCAGATAGCCGATCTCAGGAGGAATCTTAACGAGATAAAAAAGGGCAGAGCCTGTTGGTGGGGAGGAAGATACGTGTGCTGCCAAGGAACAAAATGAGGGTAGAAGACAAGGAGGGCTCACACCCACCAGCCTTCCAATGCACTTTTTTTTTTTTTTTAAGATTTATTTATTTATTTGAAAGTCAGAGTTACACAGACACAGGAGAGGCAGGGAGACAGAGAGAGGTCTTCTATCCGATGGTTCACTCCCCAGATGGCCCCAACGGCCAGAGCTGGGCCAATCCAAAGCCAGGAACCACGAGCTTCTTCCGGGTCTCCTGCACAGGTGCAGGGCCCCAAGGACTTGGGCCATCTTCCACTGCTTTCCCAGGCCATAGTAGAGAGCTGGATCGGAAGTGGAACAGCCAGTTCTTGAACCGGCGCCCACATAGGATGCCAGCGCTTCAGGCCAGAGCGTTAACCACCCAGTGAGCCACAGCGCCGGCCCTTCTAACTCACTTCTGAAGCTTCCCACAGGCTTCAGCTTCCAGTACACATCGTCAGAAATTTTAGAAAACACTTATGGGGCTGGTGCTGTGGCACAGTAGTCTAAGCCTTGCCTGTTACACGGGCATCTCTTATGGTGCAGGTTTTGGTCCTGGCTGCTCCACTTCCAAACCAGCTCTCCTCCAATGGCCTGGGAAAGCAGCAGAAGATGGCCCAAGTGCTTGAGCCCCTGCACCTGCATGGGAGACCCAGAAGCAGCTCCTGGCTCCTGGTTTTGGTCTGACACAGCCCTGGCCATTATGGCCATTTGGGGAGTGAACCAACAGATGAAGACCTCTCTGTCTGTCTCCCTCTTTCTGTCTGAAACTCTTTCTCTCAAATAAATAAATTTTTAAAAAACCATACATATGAAGAATTTTCTCCCAATCTCTGTCACTTATTTTAAATTTTAGAAACTCAACTTGCCCTAGATGGAGCTTCCCTTCCCACCACTCCAAGTGGAGTTCTTCCCAGCTCTCCAAGTCTAATACATGCAGCGTCCTTCTATTTCCACACGGTGCCTGGTGCTCCCAAAAAAGCACAGGTGTGGCATCACCAGACACCTATGCACAAGTTATTGTTCCTAAAACACAGCTGGGTGGCATCCGAATTGGGACCTCCTTGTTCCAAATTTGTAAGCAACATACATTATATTTGTAAGAGAGACTATGCACTTGCTGGTAAAAAAACAAGTACTCAGAAATATTCATAGTCATCCTGAACCTCACAGTACAGAGAGGCTGGCTGACTGCTTTTCTAGGAAACAGGCTTGATTTTGGCAAAATTTTTTCCGAGACAAATGAGTAGTCAATTTCATTTCTGTAACAGAGGGGTTGGACCAAGGCAAAGGCCACTGATATGTCTGAGTGAAGGGTACCGTGGTGGTGGAAGGCACAAATATCAGAACATAACAGATCCATGGACCACGGACGACTGGAGAAAGGTAGAAAACCCGAGGATCTATCAACCACTTAGAGTACTGCTCACATCCATGAGGAAATACGTTAGCACATTCACAAATAACACACACTCAATACACATTTTATCACAGTCACATATCCATATATTTCTTCAAAAGTAAGACACCAAAACTTAGTGGGATTCTTTTGCAGATGAGAAAATGAGGCCATGTGAGTGTACCACAGAGTTAGGATTATACCTGATTTAAAAAGAAATGCCACATAACAGATGTTCAAAACAATCACCTGTGATAAGGTGAATTATGAAGTCTTTGAAAACCGGCAGTGTGTTTAAACAGGCCAACAAGGCCTCTTACCTCCTTCAGTTTATTGTGAGCAAGGTGCAGTTTCTCCACTCGACACCACGCATGCGCCTTTTCGCTCAAGTCCAACACGCTGATCTGATTGTAGCTGAACAGTAGTTCCCGTAAGTTCAAGGACGTCCAGCGTGCGGGGCCTGGCAGACACTGGATGTCATTGCTGCTCATGTCCAGGGACCGCAGGCTACATCATCAGGATATCAAGAACATAGTGAAGGCATGTTTGCCAAGTACATGAAGTAACATCATAAGCAGTCGTCACCAGATGGACAATAGGAGCCAAATTATTTTTTAAAGATTTATTTATTTATTTGAAAGTCAGAGTTACACAGAGAGAGGAGAGGCAGAGAGAGAGAGAGAGAGAGAGAGAGAGAGAGGGAGGGAGGGAGGGAGGGAGGGAGGGAGAGAGGGAGAGAGGGAGAGAGGGAGAGAGGGAGAAAGGGAGGGAGGGAGGGAGGGAGGGGTCTTCCATCTGATGGTTCACTCCCCAGATGGCCACAATGGCCGGAGATGCGCTGATCCGAAGCCAGGAGCCAGGAGCTTCTTCCAGGTCTCCCACATGAGTGCAGGGGCCCAAGGACTTGGGGCACCTTCTACTGCTTTCCCAGGCCATAGCAAAGAGCTGGATCGGAAGCAGAGTGGCCGGGTGTCGAACCAGCGTCCATATGGGATGCCGGTGCTTCAGGTCAGGGCATTAACCTGCTGCACCACAGTGTTGACCCCAATAGGATCTAAATTTTAGGGGCTGGTGCTGTGGCATAGTAGGTTAAGCCTGTGCCTGTGCACCAGCATCCCACAGAGGCATCAGTTTATGTCCCGGCTGCTCCACTTCTGATCCAGCTCTCAATGATGGCCTGGGAAAACAGCAATGGATGGCCCAAGTGCTTGGGCCCCTGCAACCCTGAGGGAGAACCAGAAGAAGCTCCTGGCTCCTGGCTTCCGATTGTGGCGCAGCTCCAGCCATTGCAGCCATTTGGGGAGGATCGAAGATCTCTCTCTGTCTCCCTCTATCTCCCTCCCTCCCTTTTTGTAACCCTGGCTCTCAAAGAAATAAACAAATCTTAAAAAAAAAAAAAAAAGAGAGAGAGAGAGAGAGAGGGACCAAATTTTTAAAACTAACATTATGTACTCAGAAATATGTCTGTATAATGGTCTAGAGAAAAAAAAAAAAAAAGACCCGTTTTACTGGAAATGAAGTTCAAGTGAGAAAGAGCATTAAAAAGCAAATCTAGGCCTACTTTTCCTACTTCAGGCAGATGAAGAAACCAATCTCAAAATGAGGGAAGGACCCAGGGTTTGCAGAAGTTTCCATGTATTAGAAATAAGCGACCGGCGCCACGGCTCACTAAGCTAATCCTCCACCTGTGGCGCCAGCACCCCGGGTTCTAGTCCCAGTTGGGGCTCCAGATTCTGTCCTGGTTGCTCCTCTTCCAGGCCAGCTCTCTGCTGTGGCCCGGGAGGGCAGTGGAGGATGGCCCAAGTCCCTGGGCCCTGCACCTGCATGGGAGACCAGGAGGAGGCACCTGGCTCCTGGCTTCGCATCGGCACAGCGCACGGGCAGTGACGGCCATTTGGGGGGTGAACCAACGTAGGGAAGACCTTTCTCTCTGTCTCTCTCTCTCACTATCTCTGCCTGTCAAAAGAAAAAAAAAATAAGCAGCAAAGATAAAGTGGTCATGAAAACCCCTGCCTTTTCCAGAAGACTGACAAGGATGTGGCTCCCACCCACCTTGTCAATGGAGTGATTTTCCATTCGTGCCTGAGGGCTTCTTCAGTCAATTAACACTGTCCAGGGGCCACCCATTACCTGCTTGTCTCAGGGCAGCAAGGATCGCAACCCTGAGCATGAGGCTTGCATTTGGCAGGACCTCGATGCCAACTGAGAGCTTTCATGCAGGCACAGGCTACCCAGGACTACCAGGAAATGACAAAAACACCGTGCACATGAACATAAGTGTTCATCAGCAGTGGTGGCCATCTTGACTATGCAAAAGGCCGCCTGGACTTTCTAGCTACGTACTGGTCACTTGCGTGTGGTACATCTGAAGTTGGCTGAATTCATTCTAAGCTCACGTAGCAGTACCATCCGCTAGACAAAAACTCCAGTTTGCACAGCAAAAATGTCACTAGAAGTTGGGCGACTCTTCTAAGAATGCATGAAAACCAGAAAGGGGAAGTGACTGTGCTAGAGAGAAGACACGTCGCAAGCAGTGTGACTGAGACGAACCTGCCAAGCACCAGGCTTTCCGAAAGCAGTGCTGCATTCGCCTTGGCCCGTGTTTCACACTGTGAAACTAGAGAAAATTAAGGAAATACCTTTGCGTGGTGGCCACCTAGGCCTGAGAAAGAAGGGTGCCTCAGAGTGGTGTGATTAGGGAGTGGATGGGATTTAATTCTCTGGGAGGAAGCTTCTTCTTTTTTTTTTTTTTTTTTTTTTTTTTACAGGCAGAGTGGACAGTGAGAGAGAGAGAGACAGAGAGAAAGGTCTTCCTTTGCCATTGGTTCACCCTCCAATGGCCGCCGCGGCCGGCGCACCACGCTGATCCGATGGCAGGAGCCAGGAGCCAGGTGCTTCTCCTGGTCTCCCATGGGGTGCAGGGCCCAAGCACCTGGGCCATCCTCCACTGCACTCCCGGGCCACAGCAGAGAGCTAGCCTGGAAGAGGGGCAACCAGGACAGAATCTGGCGCCCCAACCGGGACTAGAACCTGGGGTGCCGGTGCCGCAAGGTGGAGGATTAGCCTAGTGAGCCGTGGTGCCAGCTAGAAGCTTCTTTATGACGTGTTCCCTCCTGGTCAGGCATCCTCCATGTCTGGCTCTCAACGACATTTTCAGAAACACACTAGGACTGAACAGAGGGTCCCTCTGCTCAGCAGGCGCCCAGATGGAAACACGGAGGGTCCTCAGCGGAACTGCCAGTGGTTAAGCACTGTGAATTGCAGCAAGTCACTTCACCTCTGTAGTGGGGCATGTCCTCATTAAAAAGGGCAGGTAATAGCAGTAGCTGGCTGACAGAATTCCTAGGGAGACTGAAGAGATTTCCCCGAAGAGAAGTCAGAACACTGACACATTCTAAGGCAGAATTAAGTGAACTGTCACGTGCTAGTCTGAGGTACTCTCTGGCTAGCTTACAGCTAAGTATTAGTCACTGGCATAGGAAGATATTTGCATAGACATGAACTTGGTTAACAATCATGGACACAGTGAGAACAGTACTTAGGATGACAACACACTCAAAATATAATCCATGTCTGATTTATAGTCAGCAGCAAGCTTTGCTTTTGTGAGAGCAACAATAAAAACCCAAACCTGCCCTACACAACTGCCCTAATCATCACTGAAAATGTCCCTGAAATGTAACTTACCCATGATTTCCAGGTTATGAGTATTTTAGCACCGCATCAACCTCTGAGAGCCAGTGATTTTTTCAAAAGTCAAAGTGACAGGCAGATACCCCCACGCAATCGTAACAATGCAGCAGTTATTCTGAGACGACAGCCCACGAAATTAAAACAAAAATGGCAAGTCCGAGCAATGAATCAGGTCTTCTGGGTAGAGAATCAAGCACACAGACCTATAAACAAGCCACTCCACAGGCCTGGACGATGCAGTTACGATGCCTAAGTCAAAGCCAGACTTCTAAAGCCCCTGGGGTGGATTTCAAAGTAAAAAACACCAAACTTACTGTGGAAGATTTAAAATTGCTTCTGGAACACTTGTAAATTTGTTTTGAGATAGTTTTAAGCTTGTCATGGAGGAAGGCAAGAAAGGCATGTCGGCTACAGGGATACAAAGATAAGACAAGGAACATTTTAATCATTTGAACTAGATTTCCATTCAGTCTAATAAGAGCAGCAACCAATGAGGTGATACTTGATTTAATTTCCATTCTGACACTGACAACAGAAAGTCTACTTTAAAAAATAATTCTGCCACTCAACAATAAAACAATACGCCATATTTATCAGGATCTTTTAATCTGAAAGCTAAACAACTGTCTAAATATAAATTCATCTATCTAATATCTGCTTCAAGGAAAAATTAAAACATTAATTTCAAATTAGGTATGATGTCATATGACTATTATAGAGGAAGCCATATTACTCTTTAGTAACTATTACAAAATGCTTTTGAATACTTAATTAACATGTAGCATAAAGTAAGTATAAAAACTCTTGATGATACCATCTCATAAAGTGGGTTTTGTGAAAGACCACTGAATTCACTTGATAAAGGCACTCTTTGATTATGTGATGTAAAGAGACCAGGCAACCTTAGGGAAAATGACACGAAGAATCTCAGAATTCTCGATTTTCTGGCACACACAGAGTGAGACACCCCCAAGGGATAAACGTCCAGGAACAGCACCGCAGAACCCCAGCTGGGTTCACCTACAGAGCAGCGCACCTGCACCAGACGAGCTCTGAGATCGGATAGAGACCCACATCCCTGCAGTGTTGTGAAAATGAACAAATTACCTTTCAGCATTCTGAGAGCTTAATATACGAACGCTGCTTCGTCCAGAAAATCTGGAGGGGCCCCCACGTTTGAAGACACAGCTAGAAGCTGTGTGTGAGGAGGAGATGCTGACTCCCCAGCTGGGTTTGAGACATGCCAACGAGTAGAAACGATGCCCAACTGGGCAGTTATCTTGTGGCCCAGATGTTGTAATGGAAAACATGCAGAAAATCAAAAACCCAAAACTCCCTGTACCATTATCCGTGATAGTCAAGTCCCTTCTCAGGCATGCCGTCCCCTCACGTATGAACCCACGTCCTAAGCCACGAAGGCTGTGGGGTGCAAACCACAGATGGCTGGGTTCCGTCTAAGCCACTAGGACCAGTTTGCCATCACACCAACACCTCAGTTCTTCACCTCCTTGAGTCGGGTAGGGCTCATACCTGCTCTACCCCCAGGACCTCCGTGAGATCCAGCAGCGAAGGCACTTTGACTATCGCCAAGCCCCAGCATCCTTGTGAGCCTGCTTCCTTCCAGATTCAGGCTAAACACCACAAACCCCACAGACCAAAGGACAGCCCCTGCCCAAGGGATCCTCATGGCCCCCTGAGACTTTCCGGTGTCTGGGCAGCACCCTCTAATTTGTGCCTTCACTCTTTCATGCCCATCTATCTTCTGAAGTCAACTGCAAGGTCCTACAGGATGGAGCCCAGGTTTGCCTAGCTCACTAGTGAGCCAACCACTCTATCCCTGGTTTCAGTGCCATGGTGGGAACAGCGTCAAGGTCCAGGGGGCGGGGAAGACAGGAGGGAGGGGAAAGGGAGGAAAACACTGTGCAAATTCACGTAGCTTTCACCATTACGACCTTCTGGAAGCCCTGCCAAACTATTTTAAAATAATCAGTCAACTATATCCTGCTATTAAACAGTACTGCATGGAGCTGGAGTTGTGGCATAGCAGGTAAGACTGTTGCCAACAACATCAGCATCCCATGTGGGTGCCGGTTCGAGTCCAGGCTGCTCCATTTCCAAGCAATGTCTCTGCTAATGGCCCAAGTACTTAGGCCCCTGCCAGCCACATGGGATGCCCAGATGAAGATCCTGGCTCCTGGCTCCTAGCTTCGGCCTTGCCACCCTGGGCTGTTGAAGCCATCTGGGGAGTGAACCAGCAGATGGAAGGTATCTCTGTGTCTCTCCCTCTAATTTTGATTTTCAAATAAATCAATCAACTTTAAAAAAAAACAGTATTTACAAATTTTGTTTCTGAGATAGGTGTAGAATTTCTGTCCAGGTAGGAAGGTCTACAAGGCCTCCACTAAGATATATATGGAGAATCCCTGTTTACTGCTGTAAACGTACCAGCTCTGTTCGTACCAGATTCTGTAGACTATTGTAAACGGGCTTATCTCTGCTCTATCTCACATGCTAAGGGAATTTAGGGTATTCCACAACTTTTCAAAAAAGTGATGATCCCACTATGAATTACTGCAATATCTTGCCAAGAGCAGATGAACGGATACACACAAGCTTCAGAAATTTGACCACTGTTAAATTTATAATTTTTTCTATAAATCGCAATAGTAAATATAATTAAAAAATGCTGATAAAACTTCAGTGTGAAACTCACTCTCCCAATACAGGGATGCCCCCTCCTCAGGCACCTATGTGAATAATCTCAGTTGAATAAACTAAAATGAATTACAGTCTGAGTACTATTTGAAGATGGCCTAACTGTTCTTCTAACCTGTGATCATAGCAATGATTTTTTAATCACGGACTTATTTTTTAGAGTAGGTTTAAACGTACAGGAAAAGTGGGCAGAGAGCACAGGGAGCTCCATTCTCTGAACACCAGCTCCCCACACATTCCCCTGACACTAACAATGTGCACATTCATTAAGAACCAAAGAGCCAGTACTGACACATCAGGACCACTCCAAGCCCCCAGTTCTTACCAGGGTGACCGTCTGTGTTCTACATTCGTGGGGTTTCCACAAATGTATGATGACTTTCATCTACCAAGACAGAATCACAAGGAATAGCACACAGCCCTAGAAATCCTCTGGGCTCTGGCCATTCATCCTGCCCTGCCCCTGCCCCTGGCAGTCACTGATCTCACTGCCCCACACTTGGTCGTCCTCAGATTGTCCAGCATTCGGGATCCAACAGCACGTGGCCTCTCCAGATGGGCTCCTCTCACTCTGCAATGTGGGTTCTTCCATGTCTGTTCCTGGCTCAGGGGCTCACCCCCTTATTTTGCTAACACACTAAATGTATTTTGGAAACCCCAGGGTAACAGGTTAACAGAAATCCCCCCTTCCAATCCTCTCCTCCCGTGTGTACACACAACCCCACTTCTTGCAACACCCAGGCCAGTACACAGCACAGCACACTGAATGCTTACCAAGCAAATTCATCCTGGCGCTGAAACTCTCCACTTTAGGACAAGCTTCCAGAAAGTTCTCTGGTAGGCATGAAATGTGGTTTTTACTAAGGTTTAAGATCTTCAGTTCCTTCAGGCTCAAGGGGGAGCATGTGCCTGATATTTTATTTCTAGTAGTAAGAAACAGAAATGAGAGTTAAATTACACACTTCACATGCTTTAAAAAAAAAATCTGTCCTCAAAGAATGTGCCTAAGCAGATGTATTCATTTTGAAGTTAATGCGAACATTTAAGTAAACTGGTAGAAGCTGCAATACATTTTTTCTCAACCTTCCATTACATTTTTGTTTAAAACTCATGACTACAGAAGTGCCAGCCTATTTTTTCAACCCTCAAAAGCTGAATGCAATGCAACCCTTTGGTCTGTGATGAGCTCCCTCCTTACCCTTCTAGAAGCAGCTGCTCCAGTTTCTCAGCCACCTCTGCGAGGCTCTCAGGGACAGCAGACAGCTGGTTATAGGACAGATTCAGCTGCCGCAGGGTCAGACACCTCACCGCGGGATCCAGGATGACAGAGGGCCCAATGTCATTGCGGGAGACATCGAGGTTG